AAATAGATGTGAACACACAATGTAAAACTGCATAGCAGAATAAACACGTATGGAGTAGGACAAGCTCACACCCCAATACCGACCACTACTGACAAGACAAAAGTATCCGGTCACAGCAGATGAGAGTTTAACAGTTTTGCATAAATACACAGTATTTATAAACTATTATTAAGGCACTCAATTGTAAAACAATAATTAACGTGTAGGACAACAGGGAGGAAGCAGCTATCTTCTCACGCAGCAAGGCCGACAGAAAGGACAGCGGAGGACTGGGGATCTGTTTATCAGGACTCCTGTCTGATAGTGACCGAAGCCAGGGCCCCAGCACCTACGGCCAAACAAGAAGGCAGTCTCTCCAGAGCCACCCAGGGTGGCACTGGTCACAGTATCATTCCAGATCGTGAAGGTGATTTGCTCTGTGGCTCAGGTGACACAGCGTCTGGATGCACATGATCATTTGACTTGGTTTCCAGACTCAAATATATAGATGCAGAGTGAACTCAAACACACGGGCATTTCACTGCAGAGCAGACACTAATGAAACAAGGGGCTGGGTCTTTCCAGGGGTAACTCAACGACCTTCATTTGGCCTGCAATGTGGGACCTGGGTAGGAATCTGGGTAGTGGGACCAAGACAAGTACTGTCCAGATGTCACCAAGTTTCTGATCTACCCAGCTCTCTTGCCAGAGGTGAAGGGGGGTACCCTCGCTGACTGTGTTTAGAGGAGCCCTGCTAGGTGGCCAGCCAATGAGAAGAGTTGAGCAAAACTTATTCTGGCACCAACAATTTCCCACCAATGGAAAGCAATTCCCTCTACAGATGCCTCAGGTGAGGTGACTTAATAAGATCTTGACTAAATTATGCAGCATTTGTTCCTATTAGGGAGAAAAGGTCCCCAGGAGAGTGGTGAGGAAATTCATCAACCTTCTAGAACGGGCTGCCCTGAGATCAGAGTGCATTCGTCCAGGGCCGTGCTGAGGGTCTGCTCGGTTCAAGCTCAGCTCCATACTGCGGCATCCTCTGGACCTATCCAGGGGAAAAGGGCTTTAGACTGACCGGAATGCTCTTTAGCTGAAGAGGGCAGGGTGGAGCAGAACGGGGCTTGGACAGCGCAGCTGTGTGTGCACCTGGTGAGCAATCTGCATGCTTAAGCAACAGGGTGCCAAGGAGAAGGGCTTGCCACCCAGCAGTGAGCTACTCAACAGCCCAGAGGTTGGCAGGGGTCCCTGCATGGAGAGCAAGGAAGCAGGGAATGTAAAGAGAAATAAAATTTGTTCTTAGGAAATGCGCAACCAGGGACCTTGCTAGAAGACTGGAAATAGCCACAAGGCAAAGAAACGGAAATCAGCGTTGTCAATTACCATCCGAGAGCAGCCTGGTTCTCCTCTTTCTGTGACCACTATCCCCCCTGATACGAAACTTAAAGAGTTAAGACTTTCCTGTATCAATGCAAGATGAAGATGTAGAAAAGTTCAGTCTAACTTTTGGCATACCATATGAATTAACGTGAGGCAGAAGATAAGATTCAGCTGTTTATACAGAGTATCAAGCTCAACTAAAAAATGTTCCTTTTGTCCCAATTCAACAAAAGCATTCAATGAAAATGATAGTCAAAAAAGATCAGTGACTTGCACAGCATAAATCCCTGCCTTCACCTGCCTCTTTCCTGTGCCACTTACGTTTGGAATTTTCCCCATCAGCTAAGGTTTCCTTCAAAGCAAAAGCCAAGGTATGGCACGGGTTACAGTGCAAACTTTCTTTTCAGAGACCAGTATGAATCTGTCTTTGCCCAGGTGCCCCAAAGCCTGGCGGAATGTTTGTCTTGTTCATATAGCATCTTATGTTATTTTATTATTTTTTGAGACGGAGTTTCACTCTGTCACCCAGGCTGGAGTGCAGTGACTTGATCTTGGCTCACTGCAATCTCCACTGCCTAGGTTCAAGTGATGCTCCCACCTCAGCTTCCCAAGGAGCTGGGATTACAGACACACTACCATATCCAGCTAAGTTTTTGTATTTTTAGTAGAGACGGGGTTTCGCCATGTTGGCCAGGCTGCTCTAGAACTCCTGACTTCAGATGATCTGCCCACCTTGGCCTCCCAAAGGGCTGGGATTACAGGTGTGAGCCACCACGCCCTGCTCCATCATATAGCATTTTAAATAGCCATGTGCCATATGTTTACATGCCACTGATCTGGGTTTCCAAAAAAAAAAAAAAAAAAAATCTTTTCTCCAGGCCAGAGTATTAAGCATTAAGTCAAGAATGCTTCACTCTGCTCTGATGATGGGGATCACTGCTTCTGTGTGGATGTTGATATGCTAGCTGTGCTTCTGAAAATGAATGGATAAATTTTCCAGAAGCCAAAGACCCACTTGCAGTCTCCCCATTCCACACCCCCTCAACTCTTTAACTAGGTTAAGAAAAATTATGGCTTTCAAAATTAAAGTTTTCAAAAATATATCACTCTCATACATAGATGTGGTTCAAAAACCAGCGTAAGCCTTTCATCACTAAATTTAAAAGATTATTTTGACACAAAAATTGATCTACCACATGAAATCTGATTTGGCAAAACATACTGAACTTGGTATTTTTTGAGGCTATGCTTTTGTTGGCTGAGGGGGAGGGGGGAACCCACAGGGTTTCAGGAATAAGTGGATAATCACCTTTTAAGGTGATTTTGACACTAGTGGGAAAACAGCTTCCTATAAAGTAATATATGTATTTTTAAAAATCATTCCAAGGAGACAAAGTCCTGGAGAGAGGATTTTTGCAAAAACTCTACCCATTAGATGAAATATGAACTAGCCTTGTTTTTGAAGACCCCACCTGTGGTGCTTTCTAGAATAGCTTTGGGGAGCACAGTTCTGACCAATGTAAGATGAAGGCCCACTCACCAACTCTCAGAATTCGGCTGGCCCTTGAAGGCTTTCTGGTTTCACTAGCTAATCTGGTGGACCAGCTGAGGGCAGGATGGAACTGTGGGAGAGCTTCAGCCAACTGTGTTCCCCTGCCTTCCCCCAAGCACGCAGCTACTCCCTCCTGTACAGGCGAGCCTAGCGGGAGGCTGGCAAAGCTTGTGGTCGGGAGGAGGGAAGGGTCTGGTTTTAGGTGTCTGAGGCAGAGGGCTTCAAATGTACCCAGTTTCTTCCTGCAAGTCCATGGGCAGCCTTGTGTGGCAAATCAAACCAGGAGTCAGCAACTTTTTTCTATAAAAAGCCGGACAGTAAATATCTCAGGCTTTGTGGGCCACGTGAATTGTGTCATATATTCTTTCTTTTTTTTAACAACTCCTTAAAAATATAAAAGCCATTGCTTGCGCCAGGGAGGCTGAGGCTGCAGTGAGTCATGATTGCACTACTGTACTCCAGCCTGGGTGACAGAGCCAGGCACTGACAGAGCCAGGCGGCGCTGTCTCAATAAAGGAAAAAGGAAAAGCCATTCCTAGCTCAAGGGCTGTATGCCGTAGCTTGCTGACCCCTGAATTCAACCTTTCTGGCTTTCTATAAGCTGCTTCTCTCTCAAAATGTGTTAACATCTAGCTTGCTGACACCTTTGATTCATGCCTGGGGCAGCAGGACTCCCGGAGTTCACCTGAGTCTTAAAGGGACCGCCCACAGAGCCAGGCAGCGACTACAGATCCCTCTTTTACTCCATCATGGCTGCTGGGAAGAGCTGGAGGGAAACAGGAAGCAGTAATCTCACTGCAGGAAGGGGCAACTGTAAACATCTGAGTGTCCCTACGGTCCTGTTCCTTCTGGGGAAGCTGCTGACATCTCCTTTCCCTCCCTTAGATGGGCCCTAGTGAACCTCAGCATCCAGGCTCCCAGTGGGATGATTTGTGTCTCAGAATCACCGCCTGCACCAGACACTTGAGCAATTTCAAACCTAAACACAACCACGAGTTTCTGCAGCAGAGGCTCAACAATGCGGGCGGGTCCTTCCCCTCGAGATTTAAACTTCAGCATTAGCAACAACTGAGAACAACTCACACATTTTCCCCACCGGACCTCTGTGCTGGTCAAACACATCACTCAGCTGTAGCAACACAACCAGGACAGAGAGTCTGCACCGCCACTCGGGCACAGAGTCAGTGCAACAGCAGCATGGGACACCCCTCTGATGACTTCACCCAGCAGTGCTTGGGGCCGTCAGGTTAGAAGTCTTGACGCGTCTGGGGTCCCAATCGAAAAAAACAAAACAAAAAATGATTGTTTTTTTTTTTTTGGAAAAATGCTCTCAGACACAGCAGGATTCCCTGGAACAAGCCTTGGTCATTCTTGTGTTTTAAAAATAACAAGCACAGCGAGAACAGAGGTAGGACTTCATGTTGCCATCCGAGTTTTCTGCGAGGCCCAGAATGAGTTAGAGTGTGTGCCGCGGTGATGCTGCCGTCACCAGGACTCTTTTTCTGCAGGCTGCAAATGGAACAGTCCGGATGTGTGCACCTGTATGTGCACGTTCTTTCTAAAACACGGTTATTCTTGAAGACACGGTGGGAGTGGAGTTGTGTGTCTCCTGGCCGCGGGTCTTAGTTCTCCCAGGCCATGTGACTGACAGCTCCCCTTCTTGTGCTGCATGTTGGTTGGTATCTTCTCCTCTCTGTGGCAAGAGTAGGGGAAAAGTCAGGATGACTTCAATCATTTAAGGGAAATCAAGATGTAAAGGATTGATCGAAATCCACAGTGAAAGTGAGGGAGGGATTGTGTGAAAATATCCGTCCGGGCCGGGCGCGGTGGCTCAAGCCTGTAATCCCGGCACTTTGGGAGGCCGAGGCGGGTGGATCACGAGGTCAAGAGATCGAGACCATCCTGGTCAACATGGTGAAACCCCGTCTCTACTAAATATACAAAAAATCAGCTGGGCATGGTGGCGCGTGCCTGTAATCCCAGCTACTCAGGAGGCTGAGGCAGGAGAATTGCCTGAGCCCAGGAGGCGGAGGTTGCGGTGAGCCGAGATCGCGCCATTGCACTCCAGCCTGGGTAACAAGAGCGAAACTCTGTCTCAAAAAAAAAAAAAAGAAAAGAAAAGAAAAGAAAATATCCGTCCGGCGCAACGCAGCAAAAGGCGGGTCAGCTTTTGCTCATCCACGAAGGGCTCTTCAAGTTTTCTGGGGCAAGTTTCCCTGATGGTTTGGAGGTTACAGTTGGGTCCCTCGGGTTTGCCTGGGGCTCATGCAAGAAGGAAGATTCACTCAACGTGGCGTCCTGGGAGTCAGTGACGGTGGATGGGTCAGCCTCGCTGGACAGGTCTTCTGTCGAGAAGTTGAGACTCGCCAGTTTGGCAAGAGAGTGTGAGCGCTTCAGTGGGGAGGAGACGGTAAGGCCCGCCAGCCGGAGCCGGGTTTCGATCTCCTGCGTCCGTTGCTTCACCAGCCCAGGCTTCCCGCGGACACTGTGGATGCTGTCGCTGCTGGAGCTCCGGGTCAGGTTGGAGCTCATGGACGAGGAGGTGGGGGTGTAGCAGATGGTCTTCAGAAAGTCCTTTGAGAAACTACTGGTGTGGTCCAGGCGATAGAGGAAAGGAGGGGGGCTCTTCAGTGAGCCTCCTTCCAATGAGGCGGGGGCGGCCTCTGACTTCTCATCACTCCCAGCATGGCCAGGCATAACCAGGGGCCCCAGCTCATGGAGCGCGGCTAGATCCTGGCTCTCCTCTGGGATGCTGGCCTCCAGCCTGCCGGCAGCGCTGTCCCTAGAGTGGGGAGCTGGGTCTGCAGGCCCGCCCTTCAGCCGCTCCAGTTCTTTGGTGTGCTTGCGGACCAGGCCTGCCTTCTGCAGCTGAATGATGGACTCCTGGTGCTGCATCAGGTAGCTGTTGGTTGTCGGCTTCTCAGATTCATTACTGAACAGAAGCCTCAGGTCCTTGGCTGGTTTCGTATCTTTCTTGGGTGACGATTCTTCCTTCCCTGCTTCTGTGCTGGAAGAGTTCTTATCACAGTGAGAATTCTTCAAAAGGAGGGATTTTGGCAGGACTTTTGGGGTCTCTCTGGAAGATTCCAACAGGCTAGCCGGTGGCTCTAGGGCAGCCCCAGCCCCAGGGCCACTGGTGTCTGGCCTCCTGGAGCCTGCTGGCGGTAGCAACGGGGGAGGTTCAGTTGGGCCAGAGGCCGGCTTCTCCGGAACACGGGACCTGCCAGCCACGTGGGCCACAGGGGAGGACGTGACCTGGGGCAGGAAGGCTGGCTGGGTACAGATGGCAGGAGCGCTGGGGTCCTCACATCTCTCCCTGGAGGCCTCGGAAGCCCCGCTGGCTGCAGGATACATGCAGTCGGCACAGGATTTGTAGGAAGGCTTCACTTTGTTAAGGATCCCAAATATAGCATCATGCTGCAAGGAAGGGGACAAGAACATGGTGAGACAGGGCAGTCATGAGCCAAAGACCAAAAACATGAGGGTGGGCAGGGAAAGAGGTGCGAGGCAGGGCTGGGGCCTGGCCCAGCGAGGCAGCTCTTACTTCACTTAGTACTGACAGACAGACCTCCCGGAGGCGGTGAATAACGTAGGTTAGAGATCATGAATCGGAAATAACATGATCGTAAAATACGCAGGTTAGAGAGAAGTCAATAACACAGGTTAGAGAGAAGATGGAGATGCTGAATCCAACTTCCCAGAAGCTAAGTGCCCAAGATCCTGGGCACATCTTGGGCCACACGCCAGCATGATCAGGGGCTCTGGGGACCATGCTTCACAACCCCACCTCTGCCATCTGCACAGCACAATCCTTTTCCAGGCCCTGGTCTCACCTGGACAAAAAGGGTGACAATCATAGCACTGGGATAATTCAATAAAGTAATGTGTCTGCCACAGAAACAGACAGGGGACTCTTCCTTTCAGAAAGAATTTGCATTTGGGGAGTGTGCGGCCTGACGATGTAGCCCTTCCTACCTAGCAGGGGCACAGCATGGCCCCAGAACCGTCAGCTCGCCATGGTCTTCACAAGAGGGGTGGCAAAGAGCAAAAACGGTTTTTGAAAAAGACTAATGCAGACCTAGATGCAGGGGCACACAGCCCCTGATGAGAGCTGGCCTGAGATGGGACTGACTGATCGACTGACTGGTTGATTGAGATGGAGTCTCATTCTGTCACCCAGGCTGGAGTGCATGGCCACGATCTTGGCTCACTGCACCCTCTGCCTCCTGGGTTCAAGCAATTCTCCTGCCTCAGCCTCCTGAGTAGCTGGGATTAAAGGCGTATACCACCATCTTTGGCTAATTTTTGTATTTTTAGTGGCGATGGGGTTTCATCATGTTGGCTAGGCTTGTCTCTTAACTCCTGACCTCAGGTGATTTACCCACCTTAGCCTCCCAAAGTGCTGGGATTCCAGGCGTCAGCCACCGTGCCCAGCCTGAGGTGGGTTTTATGTGCCAACAGAAAACAAGTTTTACACTGTTTCCTAAGGAAAACCCTCTGCCTTTTGGTCAGTGAGGATCTAAGTGAATGTGGCAGATGCCTCTATGTCCCTGCCGTTCACCTCCTCACAGGCCAACTGACAGGCACCCAGCAGTACTGGGAATGGACTAGAAAGCTGAGTGAAGAATCCCAGGAGAGAGAGGGACAAGGTCAGAGTCTCTGCGGAGGGAAGGCTGACCAGAAAAACTGACACTTCAGCTGAAGCTTCTGGGACAAGCAGGTTTTGACCAGCCAGAGAGAGCAGCACGCAGGCCCAGAAGCAGAGGAAGAGGGGAGAGGAAAACTCCCCACAACCCTCCTGCACAGGACTGCAGGCTGGAGGACAGGACAAGGCAGGAAGGCAACAGGGCTCTGTCTCTTTTTTTTTTCCATATAGACAGAGATAGGGTCTCACTATGTTGTCCAGGCTGGTCTCAAACTCCTGTGCTCAAGTGATGCTCCTGCTTCGGCCTCCCAAAGTGCTAGGATTACAGGCATCAGCCACCACACTCTGCCAGCTCTGTCTCTCAAACCTCCTGATGGCCCTGCCACATTCTCTGAACCACTGTAACCTCAGGCTCCCAGCTTCCCCTCTTAACCCATCAGCCTGCCTGCAGACCACAGCCAGAGGGCCTTATCACTCACCTGCTTAAAACCCCCACCATGGCTTCCATGGGTTTTTTTTTGAGACGGAGTTTCGCCCTTGTTGCTCAGGCTGGAGTGCAGTGGCACCATCTCAGCTCATTGCAACTCCATCTTCCGGGTTCAAGCGATTCTCCTGCCTCAGCCTCCTGAGTAGCTGGGATTACAGGCCTGTGCCACCATGCCTGGCTAATTTTGTATTTGTAGTAAAGACGGGGTTTCTCTATGTTGGTCAGGCTGGTCTCCAACTCCCAACCTCAGGTGATCCGCCAGCCTCAGCCTCCCAAAGTGCTGGGATTACAGGCATGAGCCACCGCGCCTGGCACAGGGTTTTATCTCATCTGCCTTTAGGGGTATTTGCTAAGTAGAGAAGTGGGGGAAATCCATAACAAACATTTGATTTGGAATTTTTTACAATTTGGAGGTCGACAGATGCAACTGCCCAGTTTTGTCTGCATTGTAACGTGCTGTTAATAATAAACTGGGTGTATACTTGAATGCATCTGTCAGGATCCCGAGTGCCCGCACTTGAGAACCACGGCTGTCCTGTGAGATGGGCAGTGAAGCCAGAGGAAACGACGTCAGCGGCAGGGCAAGGGTGGAAGCAGAGACCAGGCTGCACAGCCACCCTTCCACTGAACCCGCCTCTGCTCCTGTATCACTTCCCCACGTGGAGGAGGAAAAAGGTTAGCTGGAATTAACGATTCTCTCAGTAAGCACCACTGAAGCTCAGACTTTGTGGCAGATAATCCACCAAAAATGACAACTCCAAGAGACTAACGGACTTAAGTATTAGAGTCTAAGCTGGAAGGCTGGATACTTGATAATGTTGGGAAATTATTATCAGTTTTTGTTGTTGTTGTTGCTGTTTGAGACAGTCTTACTCTTGCCAGGCTGGAGTGCAGTGGTGTGATCTCAGCTCACTGCAACCTCCACCTCCTGGGTTCAATCAATTTTCCTGCCTCAGCCTCCCGAGTAGCTTGGATTACAGGCACGTGCCACCAGACCCAGCTGATTTTTATATTTTTAGTAGACAACGAGGTTTCACCATGTTGGCCAAGATGGTCTTGATCTCCTGACCTCATAATCTGCCCGCCTTGGCCTCCCAAAGTGCTGAGATTACATGTGTGAGCCACTATGCCCAGCCCAATTGGTTTTTTAAAGGTGACAATGGTATTGCGGCTATGTTACATACTGGAGCATTTATGAATAAAATGGTATATCGGAGGCCAAGGCAAGGTAGCTCAAACCTGTAATTCCAGCACTTCAGGAGGCCAAGGTGGGCAGACTGCTTGAGCTTAGGAGTTTGAGTCCAGGCTGGGCAACAGTGAGACCTCATCTCCATAAAAAAATAGAAAAAATCAGGCTGGGCGCGGTGGCTCAAGCCTGTAATCCTAGCACTTTGGGAGGCCGAGGCGGGTGGATCACGAGGTCAAGAGATCGAGACCATCCTGGTCAACATGGTGAAACCCTGTCTCTACTAAAAATACAAAAAAATAGCTAGGCATGGTGGCACGTGCCTGTAATCCCAGCTACTCAGGACGCTGAGGCAGGAGAATTGCTTGAACCCAGGAGGCGGAGGTTGCGGTGAGCCGAGATGGCACCATTGCACTCCAGCCTGGGTAACAAGAGTGAAACTCCGTCTCAAAAAAAAAAAAAAAAAAAAGAAAAAAAGAAAAAATTAACTGGGTGTGGTAATATGTGACTGTGGTCCCAGCTACTCAGGATGCTGAGGTGGGAGGACCACTTGAGCCTGGTAGTCAAGGCTGCAGTGAACCGTGATCATGCCATTGCACTCCAGCATGGGCAAAGAGCGAGACCTTGTCTACAGTATATACCTATATCTACGATATAATATATATATATTTTTAGATATAGAGGCTGAAGTTGGCTGATAAATGACATGTTTTAATTTTATATACGTAAAAATAAGTTGAGTTGGAAGCCCTGCCCAGGGTATGAATAAGGTGTACAGGGTGCTGGTGGTATGCAGAGATACGCATTATTCCCGACAGATTCCCAATTCGCTATATAATGTACACACTATGTAGCCACCAGCAGAATCACCCTCTGAAAGAACCCTCAGGTCCCTGGAGGTGAGAGCTACGGGCCCAGCAGAGGCAATAGAAAAAAATCAGCTGGGTGTGGTGGCACATGCCTGAAGTCCCAGCTACGGAGGCTGAGGTGGGCCAGTAGGAGTGGGATGGAAGGGACGGGGTGTGCCACCCTGCAGGCCGGGCCCTGCCTACCTCCATGCCGTCGGGACAGCTCCTCTTGCTGTTGTTGTTATTTAGGTTGTCCGGGTTGAGCAGGTTTTGATCGAGCTGGGTTGGAGGCCGCCCCCACCTCCCTGCTCCCAGGCCCTCCTCCCTTTCCATCTCCTCCACCTGCGGCAAGGAGCCACTCCGGGCTCTGGGACTCCCAAACTCTAGTTTCTTCTTCACATCCTTCTCACAGAGTCCAGAACCTCGCTGGGGCTGTCTGGTCGGCCTGTGCAGCTCTGCAAGCGGAGCAGCTTCCTCCAACAGAGCCTCTCTCTCTGGATCCTCCAGGTGGACCAAGTTGCCAGTTTCATCTTCAGGGGAAGGCAGAAGGGGGTCTGAGAGTCGCCGGAAACAGCAGGGGAGTGGGGGCCCTACACCTGGCTGGGCAGCATCATCCAAGCAGGGTAGCCGGCTTTCCGGGGTGCCATCGGGGGTCTCTGGCAGGAGGTCGCCGGGTCCCGCAGGGTCATCCACAGGCTGCTGGAGGCTGCTGTCTGTCTGCTGACGCCACAGCTTGTTGTGCCGCTGTTTGCTGTGGGGAGAGGGTGGAGGAAGGTGAGTGGAGGACAGCGCCTGGGGGTCCTGGAAAAAGTGTGCAGTGAGCCAGTGAGGGGCTGCCCAACGTCAGGGGCGCCAGGGACAATCCATGGCTAGTTTAGGTAAAGCCTCTCTCTATTCATTTTTTCCCAAGAAACACAAGGATGAGAAACGGCACTGGGATCTTAAGTAGTCCAGGCTCCCACAGGAAGCCTGATGTGACTTTCTGTCCCTGATGTCAATGGGGAAGGAAACGTCTAGACTTCAGTCTGTGTATCTGTGTCTAGTGCTGCCTCATTTTACGAACTTCCTCACATCAGTTACACTCCATGTCTCATTTCTCTCTCTGTCAAATGAGAATAACAATGCTCTCAGACCTATATTGTAGGGAAATGAAGGGAATCAAAGCGGCCTATGTACAAATCTATACACAATAATACAACTACAGAAACGCCTAACACGCTGGAACACATTTGGGAAGATCCTGGAAAACTGGAAAGTATTTGTTTAGGTCAGTCTTTAGACAATTTCTTTTTTTTTTTTTTTTTTTTCTTTTTTTCTGAGACGGAGTTTCGCTCTTGTTGCCCAGGCTGGAGTGCAATGGCGCGATCTCGGCTCACCGCAACCTCCGCCTCCTGGGTTCAGGCGATTCTCCTGCCTCAGCCTCCCGAGTAGCTGGGATTACAGGCATGCGCCACCATGCCCAGCTAATTTTTTGTATCTTTAGTAGAGACGGGGTTTCACCATGTTGACCAGGATGGTCTCGATCTCTCGACCTCGTGATCCACCCACCTCGGCCTCCCAAAGTGCTGGGATTACAGGCTTGAGCCACCGCGCCCGGCTAGACAATTTCCTCTACTACTATGATACTGTTTTTATAATACCTTTTTTTTTTTCTTTATGAGATGAAGGTCTCACTCTGTGGCCCAGGCAGGAGTGTACTAGTGTGATCATGGCTCACTGCAGCCTCAAACTCCTGGACTCAAGTGATCCTTCCAGTTTCACCCTCCCAAGTAGCTGGGGCTACAAGCATATGACACCATCCCTGAGTAATTTTTAAATTATTTTTCTGCAGAGACAGGGTCTTGCTATGTTTCCCAGGCTGGTCTTAGACTCCTGGTCTCAAGCGATACTCCTACCTCAGGCTCCCAAAGCACTGGGATTATAGGTGTAAGCCACTGCACCCAGCTCTCTAATACATTTTTTAAATGTAAGGCATAAAAAAAATTGTTTACAGGTAAAATAAGGTAACTAAGTCACCCTCAAGGACCTTAAAGTAATCCCAGTATCACAGGCTTGTGAGGGTTAAGTCAAGAGCAAAGTAAATATAAGAGCACCGGGTGAGAGCGCACGGTTGCTCATTCCTCTCTGCTTGGTGTGCACATCCCAGCGAGCAGCTATTCAAGCCACTGCCAGGTTGCTGTGAACCCGGGCTGGAGTGCCTGCCTTAGGCTGCAAAGGGCACAGAGCACCTGGCAGGCTAAGGGAGAGGACAGCAAGATGCTCGCTCTTCCTCCTCCTCCTCTGGGCCTTGCCTGGGGACCTGCTCAGGCCTTCTCTGACAGTGAAGGAGTCCGCAGTTGGCTGGTGCTGTTCTCTGGACCCTGTTTAACCCTGCCAGGGTACTCCTGCATCCCCAAACTTGGCCAAGAAGCTGGTGTACTTTCCCTGTGGCTTCCTTCCAATACTGGCCTGATATCACCTAGGGAGGCCAGCTTCTTGTACAGACTGACTCAAAAGGGAATAGGGAGAAAGTGATGCCCAGGCTCTGGGCTTCTGACCTGAGAGGCTGGGGTACTGGAACCACAGCGAGGACCTGCCCCACCAGCCACTGTGGGTGAGAGAACTGCAGGGCTTTCTGTACACAGTGCCCCGACTCAGAGGCCAAGTGAGGGGCCAGGGTGTACCTCTCCCTCCTGCTGTCCACCAGCTGTGTGACAGGGGACAGGTCAACCTCTCAGTGTCAGCCCCTCATCCCTGCCCCAATCCTGGGAAAAGGGGGATAACCCATATATAACTCTTTAGGGTGGGCGTTCAGAGACTTTAAAATAAGCTAGTTTATTACTTATTATTAATAAGCTAATTTATTATTATTAATAAGCCAATTTATTATCTACTCTGAGCCAGATCTGGGAAGCATCTGGAAAGGTAAGCCTGTTTAGCACTGTGAAAGGAAAATAAATCTTGGGACCGCAAACTCACTGAACAGTCAAGCTGGGAAGAGGGTCACACAAATCTGCCTCCCATTTTGGTTCCTAAATAAGTAGATGGCTGTGAAGATGCAAAGCTATACACCTCCCTCATAGATCTTACCCACAAGGAAACTCCTTGTGGGCCCCAAAATCTTGATCCTAAAGCGTCCGTTCTGTTAAAACTCACCATGGCAAAGTAAACTGACAGTTTATCTTCACGGTGCAGGGTTGGGGGTGGGATGGAAGGAAGGACAGAAGTCAGTCACCCTTCTACCCACCTGACACAAATACTTATCTCACTGTTTCCTCTGCCCTATCGTCTATGTTCTGCAAAAACGCAGATTCACTGAGCCAGACGGGGGCATGAATGACTTTCCCCCCATTCCCCTCACAAGAAAATTGTGTATTTCTCAATATTCCACTCTTTCCCCTTAAAATTTGAAGCCCTCAAAATTATCTTCAGAGAAAGGCATAGACCTGTCTCCTGGGTGCACATCCTCAACACTGGCAAATAACCCTCTTAAAATGATTGAGACGTGCCTCCGGCATTTTGCTTGATTGACAGCACTCATACAAACCTCAAAGCAGTCCTATCAGGTGGGCGTTCTTTTTTTTTGAGACGGAGTTTCACTCTTGTTACCCAGGCTGGAGTGCAATGGCGCGATCTCGGCTCACCGCAACCTCCGCCTCCTGGGTTCAGGCAATTCTCCTGCCTTAGCCTCCTGAGTAGCTCGGATTACAGGCAAGTGCCACCATGCCCAGCTACTTTTTTGTATTTTTAGTAGAGACGGGGTTTCACCATATTGGGGGATGGTCTCGATCTCTTGACCTCGTGATCCACCCGCCTCGGCCTCCCAAAGTGCTGGGATTACAGGCTTGAGCCACTGCGCCCGGCCTAGGTGGGCATTCTTTAAAAACAGTGTTTTTTTTTTTTTGGAGGTGAAGTCTCGCTCTGTCACCCAGGCTGGGGTGCAGTGGCACGATCTTGGCTCACTGCAACCTCTGCTTCCAGGGTTCAAGTGATTCTTGTGCCTCAGCCTCCCGAGTAGCTGGTATTACAGGCACGCGCCCCGATGCCTGGCTAACTTTTTTTGTATTTTTAGTAGAGATGGGGTTTCACTATGTTGGCCAGGCTGGTCTCAGGACAAACCAGGAGTTTGACCTGACCTCAGGTGATCCACCTGCCTCAGTCTCCCAAAGTGCTGGAATTACAGTGCCTGGCTCTCATTTTTTTTTTTTTTTTTACTGTGCTGAAATACATAAAACATAAAATCTGGGCCAGGTGTGGCGGCCCAGCACTTTGGAAGGCTGAGGTGGAAGGATCAATTGAGTCCAGGAGTTTGAGACCAGCCTGGGCAACACAGCGAAACCTTGTCTCTACCAAAAATATACAAAAAATTAGCCGAGTGTTACAGTGCACACCTGTAGTCCCAGCTGGTTGGGGGCTGAGGTGGGAGAATCATTTGAGCCTAGGAAGTTGAAGTGTCATGATCATACCCTGCACTCTAGCCTGGGTGACAGAGTGAGGCCCTGTCTCAAAAAAATAAATACAATTTGCCGTCCTGAGCACTATTCATTTATTTATATATTTTTAAATTTTTAATTAATTTTTGAGAAAGGATCGCACTCTGTTGCTCAGGCTGGAGTGCAGTGATGTGATCATGGCTCACTGCAGTCTGAACTCCTGGCCTCCCAGGTTCAAGTCATTCTCCCACCTCAGCCTTCCAGTAGCTGGGATTACAGGTGCACACCACCACAACCAGCTAATTTTTGTATTTTTAGTAGAGATAGGGTTTAACCTTATTGGCCAGTCTGGTCTCAAACTCCTTCAAGTGATCCACCCACTTTGGTGCTAGGATTACAGGCATGAGCCACCACACCCAGCCTCTTCGTGACTTTTAAGTGTACGTTAAATACATTCATAATGTTGTGCGGCCATCACCACCATTCAGAGAGCCTCCAGACTAAGTCTCCAGAACTCTCTGCCACTAATAAAGCTGAAATTTGGTACCCATTGAACAGTAACTCCCCATTCCCTTCTTCTTCCAGTCCCTGGCAACCACCATTCTACCCTCTGTCTCTATGACTTTGACTACTCTAAGTAGTTCTCTTTTTTGTGATTGGCTGATTCTGCTTAACACAATGTCCTGATGGCTCATGCCTATTGCAGCCTGCGTCAGACTTTCCTTCCTTTTTAAGGCTGCGTGATATCCCACTGTATAAATATGCTACATTTTTTTTTGAGACAGTCTCGCTCTGTTACCCAGGCTGGAGTGCAGTGGCATGACCTCTGCTCACTGCAACCTCCACCTCCTTCAAGCAATTTTCCTGCCTCAGCCTCCCAAGTGACTGGGACTACAGGTACGCACCACCCCACCCAGCTAACGTTTGTGTTTTTATCAGAAACAGGGTTTCACCGTGTTAGCCAAGAAGGTCTCAATCTCCTGACCTTGTGATCCGCCCACCTAGGCCTCCCAAAGTGCTGGGATTACAGGCGGGAGCCACCGAGCCCGGCAGCCACACTGTTCATTCATCTATCAGTGAACACTCGGGCTGCTTCCACTTTTGAGCGGTTGTGGATAATGTTGCTATAAGCACTAGTGTCTCTTCAAGACCCAGTATTCCCACAAGTGGAATTGCTGGATGATATGATAATTCTATTCCTACTTTTTTGAAGAACCACCATACTGCTTTCCACAGCACTTGTACCATTCACATCCACATTAAGGTGAGCATTCATTATTTGTTTGTTTTTAGACAGGGTCAGGTTCTGTCACCCAGGCTGGAGTGCGCTGGTGCAATCTCAGCTCACTGCAACCTCTGCCCCCTGGGCTCAAGTAATACTCTCACCTCAGCCTCACCAAGTAGCTGGGACCACTGGTGCACACCACCACATCTGGCAATTAGTGTGTGTGTATTTTTAGTAGAGACGGGGTCTCACCATATTGCCAATGATAGTGACAGAAGGCAGAGAAATTTCTAGGCAGACTGGGGTGGGTCCCTGGAAAAACCCAACCTTCAAGCCGAAAAGCCTGAAACCTGTGTCCCAAAGTAAGAACTTCCATCCCTGTATGCCTGCTCTCTCTGGATTGGTTCTTTCTGAATAATATCTTTTTACCAGTTGAATGTTGCCTTTTCCAAAACTACCTATAGCCCACTCTGCCCCCATCCTGTGCCTATAGAGACCCCAGATTCAGCTGGCAGAAAGGAGCAGCTGCTGGACATCAGGAAGAGGTGCTGGGATGTCGGAGAGAGGCAGCTTGATTTCAGAAGACGGAGGCTGGACGAGGCAGAGAGGTGGCTTGACTTCAGGGGAGAGTGACCTTCCCTTCCCATCCCCTTTCTAGCTCCCCTCTCTGCTGAGGGCTGCTTTTATACTCAGTACAGTTCTCCACATTAACCATTCTTCAATTTGCCCATGTGACCTCATTCCTCTTGGGCACCAGACAAAAATTTGGGACACACGAGGTGTGGGTACCCAAAGACACTGTCACACTGGCCCTTTGCTCTTGCTGGCAGAAGGCAGCTGCCTCAGGCCCACTGACCTGGTGACACAGTGCTATCTGCAGATGGCGGAGCTAAAAGAGTATTATAACACACCCCCACCTGGATGCTGCCGTGGAGTCTGCACAGAGTTTGCTCCTGCCAGCGCCAAAGAGGCTGGTTCCTCTACTCGCTCACTCCAGTTTTGGCACTAGTTCATTTGTACACTCTCTCCCATGAGTGGTTGAGTAGGGCGAGCTGAGTAAATGAGGCACCCCTGTCACGAGCTCCACAAAGGGGTCAAGAAAATATCCTGCATCACCAAGTTTGGTCTCAAACTCCTGAGCTCAAGAGATCCACCCGCCTTGGCTTCATGAACCACCATACTTGGCCTCAGTGTTTTAAAAAGCATTTTTGTTTGCCTCAGTGTTTTAAAAAGCATTTTCGTTTAAGAGATGGGGTCTCGCTCTGTCATACAGGCTGGAGTGTAGTAGCACAATCACAGTTCACTGCAGCCTCGAACTCTTGGGCTCAAGCAATCTTCCCATCTCAGCTTCCTGAGCAGCTCGGACTACAAGTGCATGTTACCATGTCCAGTGAAGGTGGGCATTACTTCTTAACTCAGAAGAGGGACCTGAGGCTTGGAGAGACTGGTGAGCTTGCCCTGACTTGCCCTGCTCATCAGCGGCGGAACCTGGTTGCTGTGCCTCTCCAAGTCCTCAGGTTCTCCCGCAGCAAAGCCGGTGCACAGGGCTCGCACAAAGCAGATGCCCAGGAAGCGGGATGTGCACGTGCCTACGCCACACACACCAGGCCAGGCCTTAGCTTAGAACCGAGGCACTGTTCCCTCTGGCAGCAAAACCAGCTTTGTGTGTGTGCCAAGAAAATCAAAACAGATCCCTCCTGGAAACCACTCATCAAAGCCCAAACAATAGTTGTTTTTCTCAAACTGGCTCCCCCTGAGAGGCAGGATTTTGGCTGCGGAAGCGGCTGCCGGGCGGAATGGGAGCACGCTCTGCTGCCGACAGAGGCCTGGCTGGCTTGGCCGCAGGGCTGCTCCAGCTCCGCCTGCCAACCCTTCTCTCCAGGCAGGCACCCACCTTGCATCCAAGATGCCTTCATACTCAGACAGCTGCCTCATAAAGCCTGCGTTGGGGCGCGTGATGCTGCGCTTCTGCTTCACGTAGTTATATGCTTTTTCCAGAGGCCAGCCAAATTCCTTCATGGCATAGGCTATGACCGTAGAGGCCGAGCGACTCACGCCCATCTTGCAATGCACCAGGCACTTGGAATGGTTCCTCCTGCAGGGGCGGAAGCAGTTGTCGGGGGAGGGACATGGGAGAAGCAGTGGGGAAGGAGTTAAAAAGCTCCAACAACTTCATTCTCTCAAGTTTTACCGCAATCATTTTTCTAAACCCTACAGTTATCTTATTGCTGAAATCCTCTTACATCTTAATGTTTACGGAGCAGATGTCCACACACCCTCTAAGGAAATAACACCGCTGTAGAATCAATTAGCACACAATGGAAAATAAATCTGTTCTGGCCTAGCCATGTTTTGTTTGCAGGGAAAGCTTCAACATTTGGCTGCCTTAAGGGACAAAGTGAGAATCTTGTCACATGGCTGGGACAGGGGACCAAAAACCCTTTGCTGGGCTGAGAGTGGGCAGCTAACGGGATTTCTGCAAGAGCTACTCAGCCGCTACAGCAGATGGAGACGGTGAATTAGTTACTGCAGAAAAATGGGGTCAGCGAACTGAAAGCTGCAAGGCCCTGGCGAACACGAGATGCTCTTCAGACGGGAGGGCCAGGGAGCAGGAGCGAGGGCGGCCGCAGAGAAAAGCCAGGAATGGGCGATGGGGTTGGCCCATTATTTGTAAGGAGGCAGCGCTGGCCCAGGCCTGGCTGATTTACCAGATATGGCCCAGGGGACAGTGTTCCTTTAAGTATCACTAGCTTAAGAATGTGAAGGAGCGCCAGGCCGGTGAGGGAGCACCTGGGAAACTTTGTTTGTACCAAAGGCAGACCCACCAGGTGGAAGCTGACTCCAGTTTCCTGTACCCCAAGCTTGAAATTCTCCTGTAAATCTGTGGTTTCCCTCCTCCCCCAACTGCTGGTCTAAAGTCTCCGTCAAGGGAGTCTTTGAGTTTGTCTCCTAGAATACAAGGGAACTAAGATTTGGTTAAGGACACTCCAGGTAGCTTTGACCCAGAGGGAGACAAAACAGAAGAGGGCGATTGTCTTGATAGCACCTCAGAGGGTTCTCTCTTTCTGTTCCCAACTCCAGTAAGGCAGAACTGTTTCGCAGGGGAATAAAGCGAGCACCAGAGACCGGTGAAACCGGTGTCAGGCTCAGGGGCAGAGGGGCTGGCCACGACATCCGATGGGCTGTTCTGTTCCACGTGACAGTAACTCAGGCAGGGAAGGCGGGCTGTATTCTTAGGGAGGCAGTCCCAAAGAAGTTCTAAGCCTGCGTCCGTGCACGCCCTACCCTAACCCCTCTTTGGCTCGGCAACTTCCTAGGGGTGGGGCCCCTGAGTGTCCACTTGGTATCTGGGGCTTGCCTGGAATCAGAGCTGATAATGACAAGGGGGGTCAAATGTCACAGTCAAGGATAGGTGGGAGAGAGTAAGCTCAATAGGGACTCCACCTGGAGAGGACCAACCACTTCCCTTTGGTGCCTGGTGTCCTGCGACTAAAAGCAAAGGTCCACCCTGCATCAAGCCCCCTCCCAGCAGCCGACTCCTGCGTCTGCAGTCCCGTTGGCTCCCACCCTCCCAGCCTCTGCGGGTCGATTTCATCCTCAGCCCCGCCTCTCTACCCACTTACTTTGCTTTGTTTATAAAGTGATACGCTTCATTCCAGTGGGCGAGAAGGTCTGTCGTCTCTTCGTCATAGACTCGGATGTTATGATACGCAAATAAGCCAGGAAAAAAATTGTCGATTTCTCTGGTAACATTTAAAATGTAGTCAACCCTGCAATGAGAAAAAAAATAAGAAACACATTTGGAGAATCAGAACGAGGAACTGAAAAAGCAAGGTAATAAAAAACTGGCAAAGAAAAGGAAAGGAAACACGCATTAATAAAGGGTCATATGCTCGTGGCGAGACTTGTTTTTCCTTAATAGTTACCTTTTTTTCGTATTTTCTAAATGCCCTCTAGATGGTGAGAATGCGTTATATTTATAGTAATAAACCAAATTTCTTTATTTTAAAAATCTTATAAAAAGAAAACTCAGCTTAAAGCATTCTAGAAAATTAAATATATATATATATATACATATATAGGTATTACTTAAATACATTTATAACTATTCATAACTGAGTATACAGAGGCTTTAAAAAAATCCCAGAGTCTATGCTTAAATAGTTAAGAAGGAGACTATATCCATCCATTATGTATACCCTTGGGAATTGCCTTAAATCCTTTTTTGAAACAAGGCAAAATATATAAATAAGTATTTGACAGGGTCTGCTAACCCGGGTTCTGTAGTTCTCTAAACTTAATCAATACTTTTACTTCTGGAAGAAAATCATGTCAGGAGTTAGAAAACATCTGAAATAGGTTTCACGATACTTAGACATGCTTTAAAAAATACCTATGGAAGTCCTTAATTTATTCCCAGAAAGACAAAAGCACAGAAGAGTATGGCCTTAAGTTTTAAGAATACTTTCTGTTGAAAGAATGCATCTTAACCAGTAGTTCTAAAGACGTATTTTAAGATTTGTTTAGTCTTGAGTTTTAAATGTGGTAATTCAAGAATGTCATCATGTCAGGCCCACAGAACGGTGATTTTGTGGCTGTGTTGTTTAAAAAAAAAAAAAAAGTCCAGACATCTGTTCTTGAAGGTCTAGATTGAAACATTTTTCATCCCTGCTGAGTGCCTGTCAGACTAGGACAGGCATACGCTTCTGGCCAACACTGAGCACAGAGTTGCAAGATTCCCACCAGGCCCCAAAGCAGAAGCTCAGACAGAGCCAGGAGTGGCCCAGGGATCAGGGTGGCAGACTAACAGAACAGCCAGCAGACCTCTGCGTCCACACTAGAGTTTGCAGCAAACTGTGCAGCGCAGGGAGGCGGGGGAGGAGGCACAGAGCCTGATCAATATCCAGGCGGTCCTACACCACTGGAGTGGGATTTTAAAAAGTTTTCCTCAACCCACACAATCACTTGAGACTTCAACACAATCTAAACTCCATGAATTATTCAGGGCGTGGTGTTTGGAAGCACATCTGTTTAGCTATGCACATCAACCCCTGGCAGCCACTTCAGAGACCAGGGTGCAGGCAGTTACAGGCAGGCGGCCCCAAGGTCTCCCCCTCCATGGCAGAGCGGAGGGTTTCTAAGCTGCCTGGAAGGACAGGGAAAGACAAGGGGAGGAGACTCACCCTGAGCCCTGCAGTTCCTCCAGATTGGATGCATTCCATTCAGAGCCCTGGGAGACAGATCACACAAACTCCTGTGAGTGTCACATGTCAGCCTCAGAGCTGCTCAGGGGATGCACAGTTTGCCCTAGCCCTGGCTGGGAGGTCTTATTTCACGGCCCCTTGGCCTCAGGGAACAGAGGGAACCGGCGGCTGATATTCAAGGAGGTTCCTGAGTGAGTATGCACAGCATGGGAAGAAGGAAGGGGGGGAAGGACTGAGGGAGGGAAGGGTCCTGGCCCTCACTGGCTCCTTGGCCTTAGGGAAACAGCAAGTTCAGGAAAACCTGCTCCCTGTCTCCCCACTTCCTTTCCTAAGATTCCAGTGGGGTCCTGTAAGCAGAGGCAATGACCTGAGACCTCCCACCCAGGGAAGGGCACGTTCACAAGCCACTAATTAAAGCAGGAATCCTTCTACCTTCTGGGAAGTATTTTGGCAGTACTGAAAAAGTTCCCACCCTCTGACCCAGTAATTCCACTTACAAAAAGCTATCCTGAGGAAATAATCAGAACTCACAAAGTGATTTAGGTAGGAGGATATTTATAATTATTTGTAATAAACCAATAGAAACCACCCAAACGTCCAATGGGAAAAAAATGAGTAAAATAAATGAGGCTGGATCTTCATGATGGAGTCTTTAAAACAGATTATCTTTTTGCAGAACATTTAATGACACAGGCAAATACCATGTAAGGAAAAAAATTTAAAAAGAGAGCAGGATACAGAACTATATAAACATAAACAGTATGATCCTTTCCTTTCTGTTCCTTTTTATATATTTTTAAATGTTATTTATTTATATATTTTTTTTCCAAGAGGGGGTTTCACCATGTTGGCCAGGCTGGTCTGAAACTCCTGACCTCAGGTGATCCGCTGGCCTCAGCCTCCCAAAGTTACAGGGAGGTTCCATTACAGGCGTGAGCCACCGTGCCCGGCCTCTGTTCCTTTTTATTTATTTTATTTATTTATTTTTTTTTTGAGAAGGAGTTTCGCTCTTGTTACCCAGGCTGGAGTGCAATGGCGCGATCTCGGCTCACCGCAACCTCCGCCTCCTGGGTTCAGGCAATTCTCCTGCCTCAGCCTCCTGAGGAGCTGGGATTACAGGCACGCGCCACCATGCCCAGCTAATTTTTTGTATTTTTAGTAGAGACGGGGTTTCACCATGTTGACCAGGTTGGTCTCGATCTCTCGACCTTGTGATCCACCCGCCTCGGCCTCCCAAAGTGCTGGGATTACAGGCTTGAGCCACCGCGCCCGGCTCTGTTCCTTTTTAAAGAAGCTATATATTGCGTTTATAAAACCCAAAAAACAGAAGATGGGAAAGTAAATATACCAAAATGTTACAGGGACTACCTCTGGATTGAGATTGGGAATGCTTTTTTCTTTCTTAGATCTATTTCTATTTGCAGACTTTCTGCAATGTTTTAATTTAGTACTTTTAAAAAACGGTATCATTGAAAACCAAGCATTCAAAGGTCATGAAACAGGGAAAAAAAAGAAAAGAAAAAATGACCACTTTGCTCTTAGGAAATGCAAACAACATAGTGTCATAAAAAGCAAAACAATCCATCTTTGTCTTCCTATAAATTTCCTTTCCCAAGTTCCCAGGAGGACAGATCCCCCCCGCCCTCCCGCACCCAGGACCCTGGGGTGGAGGGGCCCTGAGCAAGCTGGCAATGTGCAACACTAGCTGAATTTTCATATTGGAGGGAGAGGCCCAAACATAAAAATTCCTTTAGTATCTCTCATGGAAAAAGTGACATAAAGCACCGAACCACACCAAAAAATAACGCGAGCACCACAGAAGCCGTGAGTGTCCTCTTGCTGTGACTGCCACCTAGTGGCGAAAAATGGAACGAAGGTGCCTTCTGTTCCCTTCTCACCAGGGAAATGGACTTGCCAGGGAGATCAGTGCCCAGGACTGCCCACGGCTTTCAAATCCACACATGCACATGCATTTTAATTAATAACTATATAAGCTATATAGATCTGTACACACAAATATATTAAAAATACACATCTATATATCTACACAGATATCATGAAATATACATGGTAACTCAATTACTTCCTACAGAATACGAAGTCATTCATGTCTCTAGCAGCAAATTTACTTCCTTAGCTTTCCCAGGAAGCACATTCTCCACTAACAATGGTTACCAAGTATTAATGCCTACAGAAACTGCACTTGGTGCTTTAGATACGTATTTTTTATTTTATTTTATTAAAAACTATTTTTTAGAGACAAGGTCCCACTATGTTGCCCAGGCTGGCTTCAAACTCCCAGGCTGATGTGATCCTCCCACTTCAGCCTCCTGAGTAGCTGGGACCTGGGACTTTAGGCATAAGCCACTGTGCCCAGCTTGTATTTTATTTAATCCTCATAGTCATCCCTTGGGGTGTAGGATGAAGAAAAGCAGAGGGAAAGGGACTTGTTCTAAGTCACACAGCTGCTAAGGCTGAGAAGTGGGAACTTGGGCCCTGGTGGGTACTGATTTTCATGACACCGTGCGGCCTCTCTAATTTTAGTAACATGCCTTCCTCTATAGCCTCTCTGACTTGGAAAACTTGCCAGTTGCCTTCTATGGAGATTTACAGCATTCAGACAGTCTGAGCAAGCTGTGGAGGTGCACAGCGATCAGCAGAACCCACCCAGAACTACAGGACCGGGGGAAGGCTTCCAGCGGCACTGGAGCCGTGCACGGAAGAGCTGTCTGGACAAGCTTGGTGGGAGCTGCATGTCAGCGGTGTGACCTGTCCTCCCTGTTGTTTCTTGTGTCTCAGGATGGCTAGGCGTGATTCTGGGGTTTGGCGGCAAATGCTTCCTTTAGCAACTGGGGTTTTTTAGCCCACAAACCACTTGGAAGTAGCTGGATGGGGCCGATGGGGCCTCTGTGTTCATGGCTGAAGAAGACAAAGGGTTTGAGAGAGTCTGAAGCACATGCCAGTTAACTATGCCAAATAGCTCCCAAACAACTCCCCACAGCTCAGCTGGGAGCTGCTTCTCAAACAGCTGGCTCAAGAGCAGATGAGCAGTCTGCAGGCCGGAGAAGGGGCCAAAGAGGGGAGCTCCCACCAGCCAGAACAGAGGCTCCCGTAACTCAAACTTTTTGCCTGCTTTTTCTCCCGGACTTGTTGCAAACTCCAAACAAAGAGGGTCCGATTTATGTCCCCCAAACCAGATACTGCCAGGGCCATGCCTCTTACGAGATAAAGATGATCGAAGATAAGGGAGGGCTTGTCCATTTGTCCCAAGATAAGTAGCATCTCATTGTCTATGAATTCCTTGAATTCCTTCAAGTTACAATTCATCTGTTTCTCTAATTCATTACGGATCTGCGGAGTAGAAAATATTAGGAAAAGTGATTTGTTAAAGAAAACAATTGTCCACCTCAAAAGAATTAAAGTTACAATGCAAACTGTGGCTATTTCCAAAAAAGGTGGTTTTTCCCTTTTTTTCAGAGTAATGCATTTAGACACACGCAGCATACACATGTGGGTGGCAGGAATGCAGGTTACTCAGTTTAGAAGTAAACCCAACTGAGGAAAGTTTATTATTTCAAATGAGGAATTTGATTTCCATGAGATCTCTTCTACTGAGTTTAAAGCACTTTAACTTTTGTAATTAAATGTCAAATACAAAGAATCTAAAATCAGTTACATTTTTCTTGGAAAGGTAACACAATACGATTTCTAAAAAAAATGTATTCATTAATTATAAGACAAAGTTGGATGCAGTAGCTCACGCCTGTAATCCTAGCACTCTGGGAAGCCTTGGTGGGAGGATTGCTTGAGGCCAGGAGTTCAAGGCCAGCATGGTCAACACAGGAAGACCAAGTCTCTTTAAAAAAAAAAAACAAAAAAAGGCCGGGCATGGTGGCTCATGCCTGTAATCCCAGCACTTCGGAAGGCCACGGCAGGCAGATCATGAGGTCAGGAGTTTGAGACCATCCATCTCTACTAAAAAAATACAAAATATTAGCTGCGTGTGGTAGCGGGTGCCTGTAATCCCAGCTACTTGGAAGGCTGAGGTAGGAGAATTGATTGAACCCAGAGGTGGAGGTTGCAGTGAGCCGAGATCGTGCCACTGTACTCCAGCCCGTGGGACGGTGTGAGACTCCATCTCAAAAAAAAAAAAAAAAAAAAAAAATTCTATATAAACTTTTAAAAAGTCAACCTCAATCTCTTAGATCCACCCAGTTTAATCTTTTATAATGCATTGCATACCTTGAACAAAAAGCAATGGAAAAAAAAAAGTGATCCAGGAAAAAACATGAAAAAGTAGAGAGAAATTATTCTAGAATTTGGTATTTGCAGGTCAGCTGTCATCCTGTGAAGTAAGTCTGCTGTCTCTTCCATAAAACCCAAGGTAATATGGAGCAGAAGAGAGAACAAGGGGGTGTTACTAACACAGGCCAGTGTTTCTCGGTGCAGTCTACGGATCTCATAGAATGAGATCTCCCCAAAGCCCATACAGGTGAGGCTCAGAAAAGTCAAGAAATTTGCCCAATGCCTCATAGCTGATAAGCGGCAGATCTGGAATCAAACTGGAGTCTGACTCCAAGGCCTGCTGAGATTATAGAATGAGGCAGAAAAAAGCCCCCGGAGGCTGCTAAGGGGACAGGTAAAGGCAGCCAGGTGCCTGGTCTGCTTCAGCTGCACTTTCGGCAGCAGGACACAGGAAGGCCTCGCGGTCTCTGAACTGCAGTGAAGGGAGGAGTTGTCTTACCTCTTTGGAGGTCACGTTTTCTAGATCCTGGCTCATCATGATGCTTCGGAGCTTGGCTTTGATGAGGCGCTCGGTCCTTTCCCCTTCGGTGGGCCTGGAAAGAAACAACGTTGAGGAGAGCAAGAAGCTGTAGAAAGCTTGAGGTCGGAGGTGTCGGGAGGCCAGATGCTCCTGGGTCTAAACAGAATGCCGCTTGGCAAGGAGAGCACGCTTCCTGGTGCGCACGTTCTCGGGCAGTAGGGAGGCGCACAGGGAACCCGCGGCGGCTCTAGGATCCCCACGGGAGTGAACAGAGTGGAGAGCAGGTCAAGGGGGCAGAGGGCAGTGTGGAAACTCACGCCTTGCTCAGACGGTCTCAGGGCAGGACGCCGGAATGGCCAGCGCAACATCCCCAGGCCCCCAAGCCCTTGAGTCTCTGCCCGAACACGTCTGGGCATGAGGCCCTCACTGTCTCGAGGCAGCTCGGCCCAGCTGCAGCAGCTCCCACTATCCCTTTCTTCCTCGGAATCAAACTCTGGGTATTTCCTTGCTGTGGTTTTAACTCTAGGGGACACACAGACCAGGCTAATCCTTCTTCCCCACGAGCAATCTCCAAATATTCAAAGGCAACTATCCTTCCTCCCTAGGCCAGCTTGTGATGTCAAGGCCTCTCCTAATGTGGCTTCCATCCTTCAGGTCTCTGCCCTCTAAACACGCTGTGGTTTATCCACAGTCCTCCTAAAATACAGCGTCCTGGAGGAACGCCACACTGTGGGAGCAGGGTCCGGAGCCCGACGGGAGGGGCGACCAGTGTTCGGCCTCTCTAACTAGATCTCAGCGAGTGTGGCCTCTCCACATCGGCGCTGTCATAGGTCACAGGACACAGGTCCTGTGGTTCCCCATGGCCGCTGCTAAGGCAGGCTGCCCTCAGCAGTTGTGTTTTTGGATCCAAGGAAGCCGAGGACACATTCCTAACTCTCCTCAGAGCAGAGCGGGAGGCTCTGGGAATTAAGTCTCTGATAATCTTAAAAGGCCAGACCACAGAGATCTGCAAGGAGCTGGGGACACAGGGGGTCACACATTCCTCTGAGAGTCTGATGGAAGTTATGGACCTTGTCCCCAGAAATGGATTTACCAGATTCATCAGTAATTTTTTTTTTTTTTTTTTTTGCATAGGACAGGGGCCTGTGTCACAGGCCCCTGCATTAAACGTTGGTTCTGGGAAAGCTGGGCTGTCACTCAAGGGACTCCAGGGGAGGTGTGGCCCAGTGCAGGTTCCGCGTCAGGGACAGGGCAGGTCGGGGAGAGGCGGGTGCCTGTGGGCTTGGGTGGGTTCCCACAGGAGGTGCCACGCTTACTTGTCCACAAAGAGCGCGGGGGAGTCAGGCCGCGTGGACTCCAGGTCCTGCATGGCATTCCACTCGTTGATGCAGCTCTGCTCGGAGCTGATGCAGCTCTCATAGTAGGTGGCCCAGATGAGAGCTACGCCTCCGGGGAAGTAGTTGTGCCTCCGGGCCACTTCACAGGCCTTGTGAAGCACCTGCAGGGCAGACCTGGGGTGAGGAGGAGAGAGGGTCAGGTCAGGAAGGCGCGAGAGATGCAGGGTTTCCTCTTTTGACAAAGGGGTTCAAATACGGGAACGGAAGGGCATAACTTTTAAATTATTTATTTATTTATTTATTATTTATTTTTGAGACAGAGTCTTGCTCTGTTGCCCAGGCTAGAGTGCACAACCTCAGTTCACTGCAATCTACACCCCCTGAGTTTAAGCAATTCTCCTGCCTCAGCCCCCTGAGTAGCTGAGACCACAGGCGCCCACCATCACGCCCATCTAATTTTATTTTTAGGAGACATGGGGTTTTGCAATGTTGGCCAGGCTGGTCTTGAACGCCTAGCCTCAAGTGATCCGCCCACCATGGCCTTCCAAAGCACTGGGATTACAGGCGTGAGCCACTGTGCTTGGCCGAGAAGGGCAGTTTGTAAAGGGCTTACTTTCTTTTTTTTTTTTGAGATGGAGTCTTGCTCTGTTGCTAGGCTGGAGTGCAGTGGTGCAATCTGAGCTCACTGCAACCTCCAACTCCCTGGTTCAAGCGATTCTCCTGCCTCAGCCTCTCAAGTAGCTGGGACTACAGGTGCATGCCACCATGCCAGGCTAATTTTTGTATTTTTAGTAGAGACGGGGTTTCACCTCATTGGTCAGCATGTTCTCCATCTCCTGACCTCGTGATCTGCCTGCCTCGGCCTCCCAAAGTGCTGGGATTACAGGCATGAGCCACCGTGCCTGGCCAAGGGCTCATTCTTACAGCTGCACTTACACGTAGGGGTGCTGGGGAATACACACAGCCTGAAGCGTCCAGCCAGCCAGGCACAGAGCTCGTCTCCAGGACACATTCACTGACTGAATCTAAGAGTGGACAGAACACCCCACACCATTTCCAAAGAGGGGCAGAAACAAACAACAACAAACGACTTCATAACGCTTCCAATCCGGTGGTTGACAGGTTATTTTACAAGCCATCAATTAACTCCAAAGAATTAAGATCTGCTCTTGAAGCCGTGGTAACCCTGAACATAAGACCCACAATTAAGCCTAGCAGCTGAAAGAAGTCTTTAATATGCAACAGACACATCTGCCTGCATTCTAAAAAATTACATTTCCATCCATCCCCCTCATCAACAACGTTCTAATGGCTTAGATTTCTTAAGGAAATAAGTTCTACAAAGTCATTTTAATACAGAAACTAACGGAAGAGGTTTGGAGAGGCAGGCTGGGAAACAATGTTAAGAATCTGTTTTATTTAATCACCCTCTTTTATGTCGTCTTTTGTTTTTGTTTTTGTTTGAGATAAGAATCTTGCTCTGTGGCCCAGGCTGGAGTGCAGTGGTGTGATCTGGCTCACTGCAACCTCCACGTCCCGGGTTCAAGCGATTCTCCTGCCTTAGCCTTCTGAGTAGCTGGGATTACAGGTGCGCACGAACACGCCTGGCTATTTTTTGTATTTTTAGTAGAGACGGGGTTTTGCCATGTTGGCCAAACTCCTGACCTCAGGTGATCCACCCACCTCAGCCTCCTAAAGTGCTGAGATTACAGGCATGAGCCTCTGCACTCAGCCCACTTTACTTCTTTTTACAAAAACAATATATATATATATATATATATATATATATATATATAGGCTGAGGCCAGGTACAGTGGCTCAGCCTGTAATCCCAGCACTTTGGGAGGCTGAGGTGTGAGGACTGCTTGTGGCCAGAAGTTTGAGACCATCCTGGGCAACATAGTGAGATCCCATCTCTACAAAAAAATACAAAAGTTAGCTGGTTGTGATGGCACGTGCCTGTAGTCCCAGCTACTTGGGAGGCTGCAGTGGGAGGATCACCTAAGCCTGGGAGGTCAAGGCTGCAGTGAGCCATGATCACACCACTGCACCCCAGCCTGGGAGACACAGCAAGACCCTGTCTCAAAAATACAAGAAACCCCAAACTGCCCAAGCATTGTGAATATACTAATGCCACTGAAAACTGTGTCTGTAAATATGGTGAAAATGGTAAATTTTATGTTACGTATATTTTGTGGTCCCCCCAAATATGTGCATACATAATGAGCTTCTCGGTAAAAGGGGTTTTTCTATTCATGCTATCAGCTAAGAAAATATTTCTAGGGAGTTAAAAGTCCTAAAACCACACTTACCACATGGCCTGGACAGACACAGGCTTAAATATGTGCATCCTTCCTGCTGTGCTCACGCTGAAACCACTGAGAAAGAAAAACAGAGAGAAAGGTATCCGTGGTGAGAAATCAGCCCCTTTAGTGAAATCACTCTGGGAGAAGGGAGCCAGCCCACCTGCACGCCGAAACAAGCACATCTCATGCTGCCTGATGGGGGATTATGGAACCCGCTGCAGCAGAGACATGGGCAAGAGCAGAAAAAGACACATTCTCTGATGAGGAGGGCTTGTTTTTAACCCAGCAATTGGAGTTCCACCAAAAACTGAAAGCCTGGCAAAGGGTGCCAGACAAGGACCTCCAAGAACATCTCTTCTATGTTCCCACATGGTTCCTGCCTACCTGCCACCTCCTGCCCCACACTCCTGGCCGTTCCTTTTTGTAACTGCACGGAAACTATATTCATAGGATTTGCATGGAAAATAATCAATATATAAAAATACCTATTAATATATTAATAGAGCCGGGCGCGGTGGCTCAAGCCTGTAATCCCAGCACTTTGGGAGGCTGAGGCGGGTGGATCACGAGGTCAAGAGATTGAGACCATCCTGGTCAACATGGTGAAACCCCGTCTCTACTAAAGATACAAAAAAATTAGCTGAGCATGGTGGCACGTGTCTGTAATCCCAGCTACTCAGGAGGCTGAGGCAGGAGAATTGCTTGAACCCAGGAGGCGGAGGTTGCGGTGAGCCGAGATCGCGCCATTGCACTCCAGCCTGGGTAACAAGAGCGAAACTCCGTCTCAAAAAAAAAAAAAAAAAAAAAAAAAAAAAATATATATATATATATATATATATATATAAAAAAATAGAAAAGTGTTAATATAAAAATATAAATACTAACATAAAATATTAAAAATTAATACAGGCCGGGCGTGGTAATCCGAGGATTACAGGATCACAACTGTAATCCCAGCATTTTGGGAGGCCGAGGTGGGTAGATCATCTGAGGTCAGGAGTTTGAGACCAGCCTGGCCAATATGGTAAAACCCTGTCTTTACTGAAAATACAAAAATTAGCCGGGCACGGTGGCACATGCCTGTAGTCCCAGCTACTCGGGAGGCTGAGGCAGGAGAATCACTTGAACCCAGGAGGCAGAGGTTGCAGTGAGCCGATATCACACCACTGTACTCCAGCCAAGATGACAGAGTAAGACTCCGTTGAAAAAAAAAATTAATACAAAGATGTTAAAATTAATATATTTTAAGATTATTAAAATATCACGTGTGGCAGGACTGTCACTTCCTAGTGACAGTCCTGCCACACATGAGTCTGTGCTAATGATCAGCCAAGGATGCCCCAACTAGCTCGTGTTCAAAGCCTACATTCAGTAAGAGGAGGTTTTAAAGAGATTTCCTTACCCGTCTCCATCAAGGTGGATTTTTGTGTCACTCCACAGCCGGAGAACCATCCCAATAGTGCAGCTTTTACTGCAAGGGGGGAGAAGACGTGGAGTTAGCATTCACCCACATGAAGGTTCACAGCGTTTCCAGCTCACCGCCTGGCCCAGAACCAGCTGTTGGATATACATGTGGGAGCAGCGTCTACATAGGAAGTGTTCACTGATGAATTCTAGAAAACACAGGTCAGGGATGGCTTTGTGGACACAACTCTGTAAGTGCTCAGCCAACACTCTTGGGGTACAGTGTGGGCTGACCGCATGCCCACTCTACAGCAGGGAGGCAGCCACCAAGGGCTGGTGCTCTGCTGGCAGGGGCCACATGTGTACTCAGCAGCCAAGCCTGGCCCGGCCTGTCCTGGGTGGCAGGGAGGGGAGCATGCTCACACTGTTCCCGGAGCTCACCATCGCCTATGTGCCTGCACCTTTAGTGTGGCTGCGGTTTTACAGCCTCGCTTAATCTGGTTTTGCTTTGCCCATCCTACCACTGAAATGATACCGAAAGACTGCAGAGACTGGCGCCACTAAAAACCGGGGAAAAGAAAGGGCTTATCAGAGGGTCTGCTCAGATGATGATGACAATTCTGCAGGCGTTTAAAAGTCGGCTTGTGAGAAGCCGCTGTGACCATGCCAAGGGGCCAACTCCGAGGACCTTAGGAATCTCACGCGTCCATCTCTACTGCTGCCAACACCACAGTCACATTTTTGTGTGCTTGTGTGGATGGGGCCTCTGGGGCTCACAGACCCAGCTCCCCTCCTGGACAGCAACTCCCCCACCCCACCACCACCATGCAGGACTCTTCTCAACCCCATGCTTCTATATCTATGGAGAAGGTTGTTCCAAGCCCTTCTGGCCATTGATTCTCAGGCTTTTGGGTTGGACAAATTCTCAGGTCCCTCCCTGCTGTCCTACCCACTCCAGAGGGACTAACTGTATTTTCCTTATAGCATTGCAAAATAAAATTTATGTTGGGCCTCACAGAGCTCTAGGGACCACATGGCTGCGTCAACGCCAGGAACAGGCAAGGAAGGGGTCCCTGTCGAGCCCAAATCCCATAGGCAGAAGCCAGGTCAGACGGTGTCCTGGGAACATGCCAGCAGGCCCAGAAGACCTGACCTGAGCAATGACAACATCACCAGGAATTGATAAGGAGGTGGGCACAGCATAGAGAGCTACAGAGAGCACAGGACGGGGGGTGCCAAGGCCAGGCCCAGGCCAGGAGCAGGGCCTTCCAGGGCAGGCAGAGCCCAAGAGGGCAGGGATGAGACTGCCCATAGGAAATCAGGGGCACAGGAAACCATGTGGAACCATAACCCCTAGACCGGCCTCCCTTGGACACAGATGGGCAAGAGGCTCAGCCCACGGGTGACTTCTGCTCACGGCCTTCAACTAGAGCCATGAGCACGAACCAGAGACCTTGCATGACTGCAACACTCACACATCTCCTATCGTCCCCTAGCTGTTACTTTTGTGAGTTTCCAGCACTCCTATGATGATTAACAGCAAGATTTCTACAAGGAAGGAGGGCCCATGAGAAGCATATTTTTCTTTGAGACAGGGTCTTGCTCTGTCACCCAGACTGGAGTGGTGCAATCACGGTTCATGGCAGCCTCGATCTCCCGGGCCAAATCATCCTCCTGCCTCAGCCTCCTACCTAGCTAGGACCACAGACACATTGCCACCATGCCCAGCTTTAGAAAAAAAAAAGAAAAAAATTTGTAGAGATAAGGCCCCATCATATTGACCAGGCTGGTCGCAAACTCCTGGACTCAAACAGACCTCTTGTCTCCATCTGGAGGCATATATCGTAAGCAGGAAAGGGATATATATCTAAACTGGGTCTATTTAGAGGAAAAGTGACCCCAAAGGATAGAGTGGGTGGGGGTAACTGCAGAAGAAGAAAGCAGGCTCCAGGTTCCTAGGGCCTGTGCAGGAGTGGAGAAGCGAGATGGATCTGGAGGGCCAGGCAGGAGACAGACCTGTCCCAAGACCCCATCGTGGAGTCCTTCACCGACAGCAAAACGCTGATGCATGGACAGTGGCATACACTCATGGCACTCAAAATGTTCCCAACAGGAATTGAACAAATAATCCTGCTTGGGTGCGGTGGCTCACATCGGTAATCCCAGCACTTTGGGAAGTGGAGGCAAGAGGACTGCTTGAGCCCAGGAGTTTGAGGCCAGTCCAGGCAATACAGTGAGGCTCCATCTCTACAATTTTTTTTTTTTTTTTAATTAGCTGGGAATGGTGGTGTGTGCCTGTGGTCCCACCTACTCAGGAGGCTGAGGTGGGAGAATTGATTAAGCCTGGATAGATTGAGGCTGCAATGAGCCATAATTTCAGCATTCCAGCCTGGGTGACAGAGCAAGATCCTGTCTCCACAAAAACAAAACAAAACAAAACAAACAAAAAACAAGCAAGCAAACAAGAAAAAAATCCAAGATTGAGCCCAAGGATGGCGTGGCTGTTCTGGTCTCCGCAGGATGCATATGCAGATATGAAACACTGAGCAAGGCCAGGCGTGTTGGCTCACGCCTGTAACTCCAGCACTTTGGGAGGCCGAGGAGGGTAGATCACTTGAGGTCGGGAGTTTGAAACCACCCTGGCCAATATGGTGAAACCCTGTCTCTACTAAAAATACAAAAATTAATCGGGTGTGGTGGTAGGCACCTACCATCCCAGCTACTTAGGAGGCTAAGGCAGGAAAATCGCTTGAGCCCAGAAGGCAGAGGTTGTGGTGAGGTGAGATCAAGCCACTACACTCCAGCCTGGGTGACAAAGTGAGACCCTGTCTTACAAAAAAAAAAAAAAAAAAAAACAAAACTCTGAGAGCGCGTGAGGCCGCTGCGCAGCTGTCATTCCAATGCGGCCTTTTGGACAGCACTTGGACTCTCTATGAAGATGCCCTTTGGGGGCAATGCTCATCTTTTTTTTTTTCCCCCTTTGGCAGGGGGAATAAAAAACAAAATCCCATGGAAGGAGTTTAGAAAAAACAAGTATACTGCACCCTCAGCAGGCCAAAGGTGTCTGGTGGGGACCTGGACTTTGTTTCCAAGCCAGGAAAGAAGCCAACAGCTTGGCGCCCAGGCAGTGTGGGAGCTGCAGGAGAAGGCCCAGTTCCCAGCCCCCGGGATTACCTAGGCACAGAGGGCAGCTGTATCAGACCCAGCGACAGAAAGGACAGCTTAGCTCTGGTTCCCATCAGGCCCCTGCTCAACTTGCATGGCCTCTCGACCACCCTCTCCAACCTCAGAGACCTGCCCCGGCCTTGGGGTCAGTGCCTACATGTGGGCCGTGGCTCCTGCTCAGAGGGTGTAGGGATTCGAACCTGAGGGAAGAGTGTGAAGCAGAGGCAGGGGAACCACAGGGAGAGGGGCCTGCAAGAACTGAAGTCATGGTGCCAAGGGGGGGGCGGCAAAGGGAGGAGAGGGCAGGGGGAAAGGGCACCTTGGGGTCGGTGCACGTGTGTGCCTCTAAGGTACGCCCATGACTGCTGACCCATGAGCTCTGCGAGAGTGCAGGTGTGTCTGCCAGGCTCCCTGATGTGGTCCCAGCAACTGACGGGGCACCCGGCACAGGGAAAGAGCTAACAAGTCCATGCATGATACACCTAGGAGTGAATGAATGAGCAAGGCAGTGTAGAGGAGAGAGCGGCAGCCCACTGGGAAAGAATGAGTGGTGTCTGCTCATTTAACAGGTCATAGGAAAAGCCCTGCCTCTGAGTCCCAGCCCAGCCACTTACTGGGATGACCCTGGGGTAATCACTGCAGCCTTATGAGCTCTGACTCTTGTGTGTAAAATCTGAGGCAGGACTACCCACCCCAGGGGGATGAAAGGGTTAAGTGCGATGTTCACGGAGGCATTTTGTAGGTGTGCTACGCTATGCTAGCCCTGCCCCAGGAAGATTCAGAAAAGCTGGACAGTCACTGGAAGAACAGTTACAAACACAACACTGTCAAACACTAAACACCTGGGCATTTCTGAAAGCACCTGCCTGGTGGCACCCTGTCCTAATGGACCACACCCTCCAGCCTCCAAGTGGCTCTTCAGAGCTCACGTCCAAGCACCTCCTATGCTACAGGTTCTTCTAGGCCCAGATTCCCAACCAGCCCAAGGCCACAGACGGCAGCCCCAATTCCATCCCTGACATGTGCCACAGGAAACTTTCTCATAGTGCTCTTTATTATGTACTGCAGGGCTGGGGGATATTGTCACAAAAGAAATGTCCTTTCTGTTTTATTCATTTCCTTCTAACAAGCATCAAAGTATCGGTCGCTAGCAAGTGACTTAAGAGAAGCTCTCACGGGAACAAGGCAAGACCGTACCATTACCATGACACTCACACCCTCCCTGACTGGTTTCTGCTGTTGCTTCTGCCTGAAATACTCTTCAAATGCACCTCACTGCTCTGCCTCCACCCTGGAGCTCACCTGACTGCCCACTTGCCCATTAAGATTTGGCTTAGGGGCCGGGCATGGTGGCTCACACCTGTAATCCCAGCACTCTGGGAGACCAAGGCGGGCAGATTAGTTGAGGTCAGGAGTTTGAGACCAGCATGACCAACATGGAGAAACCTCGTCTCTGCTAAAAATACAAAAATTAGCTGGGCGTGATGGCACATGCCTGTAATCTCAGCTACCTGCGAGGCTGAGGCAGGAGAACCACTTGAATCCGGGAGGCGGAGGTTGCAGTGAGCCAAGATTGCGCCACTGCACCACTCCAGCCTGGGCAACAAGAATAAAACTGCGTCTCAAAAAAAAAAAGAAAAAGATTTGGTTCAGGCTTCACCCCTGCCAGGCGCTCTCAACAGCCGCCCCCTCCTGCGATCACTGTCTCCCTCCTACCTGATTGTTGTGACTGTCTTCCTGCTTGCTTGGAAGCTCTCTGAGGCTAAGAACTGTGTGTACTGCTGCTTCTTTGTTTACCTGGGCCTAGCCCATTGCCTCATACACAGGAGAACGCAAATAAATCATATGCTTAAAGAATGAGTTGATGAAAGAATGATGAATAAAGGGAGCCTAATCTAGTTTTAACAAATCCAGGTTTTGCAATGATCTCACAGGCATTCACTTATCTGAGACGTAACGGGAGTGATTAAACCCTCATCTCACACACACCATGGGGTCAATGCTGTAACTTCCTTGGCCTCCAGTTAGTGGGAAATTACAAGCTACTCTTTAACCCTCTGACCTAGAACCTGGCATGAAGCACTTGAGAATCCATGGAGTATCACTATGGGGTCAGGTGCCTGGGACGAAGCCCACCAACCTCCACACTTTTGCATGGGCCCCTCTGCCCGGGAGGGTCTCCTTGCTTGCCCTGGCTGACTCGTTTGGCCTTCTGTGTTCGGTGTTGCTGTTACCTCCTTCAGGAAGCATTCCTGGCTAGGGTGCCCCGCTCTACAGTAGCTGGTATGAAACCTCTAAGTACAACTTTCTGTCCTCTCAATTGGCTCTGTGTTCCGAGAGCACAGCCTGGAGCTGGCACAGTGCCTGGCACACCCTAGTGTTCCATCGGGATGCAGCCCTCTCCCACCTCTGATGGCTATGTGACCATGGAAACCTTTTTCCAGCAGCAACTCTTGGCCCCTCACTGAAGGGAACACCTAGTCCACCAGACTCACCTTTCCTTACTGGAAAAGTCCACTCCCAGCAAGATATTCTCCTCGGTGTCTTGGCGCCCGCTGCTGTACACCACCACCATGTACCGGACCCGGTCCACCCAGGCGCTCTCCAGGCGCACGGCCTGGAACAGGGCAGACATGCTCTCACTGGCCTGCTTTGGAGGTGGTGCCTCTGTCCCATCTCCAATGCAAGATCAACACTTTCAGTGTTCTACCTATCCCTCTGGGAGTTAAAAACAAAGAGTAAATTCTTGGCTGGGCATGGTGGCTCAGGCCTGTAATCCCAGCACTTTGGGAGGCCAAGGTAGACAGATCACTTGAGGTCAGGAGTTCGAGATCAGCCTGGCCAATATGGCAAAACCCCATCTACTAAAAATACAACAATTAGATGGGTGTGGTGGTATGCGCCTGTAATCCCAGCTACTCGGGAGGCTGAGGCATGAGAATTGCTTGAACCCAGGAGGCAGAGGTTGCAGCGAGCTGAGATCGCGCCACCGCATTCCAGCCAGGGCAACAAAGTGAGATTCTGTCTCAAAAAATGACAAAAAAACAAAGAGGAAATTCTTGAGAGCAGGAACCAGGCCTTGTTTCTCTCTGTAGCACCAGGGACACTGCCTGGCTCAGAGGAGCCACCCACAAATGCATGAAATCGGTGAACAAATGAAATTCAAAGAAAGTTCTTGTTTAGGACAACTGCTGTGGAGACATGTTTTATCCCTCCTCTGGCCCCTCTGGGATACTGAGGAGTCAACCTGGCTTTGGCTTTGGTGAACAATTTGGGGAGCATTTGTTGTAACATAAAAGCTTTCCCCCCATCATCCATGGATGGTTCCCCACCAAGTTTCACAATTAAAAATTAAAACTTGCTGGCTGGGCATGGTGGCTTATACCTATAACCCCAGGACTTTGGGAGGCAGAGGCAGGAGCATCACTTGAGGCCAGGAGTTCAAGATGAGCCTGGGCAAACAAGCAAGACCCCATATCCACAAACATTTTTTAAAAAATTAGCCAGGCAGAGTGGCACACACTTGTAGTCCCAGCTACCCAGGAGGCTGAGGTAGGAGGATTGCTTCAATCTAGGAGTCTGAGGCTGCACTGAGCTAGGATCACGCCACCGCACTCCAGCCTGGACAACAGAGCAAGACCCCATCTCATTAAAATTTAAAAAAAAAAAAAAAAAATTTTTTTTAACTTGACATTCTGCTTCTTACCAGCTTGATTCTGTCTTCACAACGCAGAAGGTTGATCATCACCTGAAGATGCTGAGGCAGGTCACCTGTTGGACCAATAAAGAAAGGTTTAAAAGGCATCCTACCTACTTTCTAGAAAAAAAGCCTCTGAAAGGCTGATTTTGAGGGCCTGTAAAAAGACTGAGAAGTTAAAATTTCTCTACCTACACCGCAGGAGAAACATCACAAGAACGTAAAGTCTCGATTTCTCTTACACCACCCTGAATACTGTGTGACGCAGATAGGTGACACAGAGCTTCTGTCACATTGTTAAAAGTTGCTCTTATTTCCGGAAATACATAACAATGTAGGTTTCCAAGTACAAAATGTGGAAAACACAGGTAAGCTTGGAGAAAAATGTTATTTCACTCAGCCAATGTTGCTGGGCAGGCTGGGGTGCCTGGAAACGGCAGCTGCGGCTGGAAGTGAGGCATTCTCTAAGAGCTGATCATCAGAGAAAAGGACGGAGCATTAGGTCTCCTCTTCAAACTTCTCTTTTTTTTTTTTGAGACAGAGTCTCACACTGCCGCCCAGGCTGGAGTGCAGTGGTGCGATCTCGGCTCACTGCAACCTCTGCCTCCTAGGTTCAAGTGATTCTTCCGCCTCAGCCTCCCAAGTAGCTGTGATTACAAGCACCCATTACCATGCCTGGCTAATTTTTGTATATTATAGTAGACTATAGTAGAGACTATAGTAGATTATCGTAAAGATTACAGTAGAGTATTTTGTATATTATAGTAGAGACGGGGTTTCATCATGTTGGCCAGGCTGGTCTCGAACTCCTGACTTCCAGTGATCTGCCTACTTTGGCCTCCCAAAGTGCTGGGATTACAGGCATGAGCCGCCCCACCCTGCCCCCACTTCAAACTTCTGCATTTTCCACAGGAGGCAGACATTATTTCCATACCACGGTGGGGAAATGTTTAAGTGAGTCTACAGATAGCAGCTGTATGCTGGTTGCCCAGAGAAATAATTTGAGTAGACAACAATCTGTATTTTCTCTTTTCTTGCCAAAAATTATGAACTCTCTCTTTTTTCTTCACTATGTAAAACACGCAGTAATCCTGGGTGGCTTCTGAACTTCTCGGAGCTGCCCCAGAGTTCAGGAGGTTCCTGGCCATGAGTCTCAAGCAAAGCAGGAGACCCTGTCAGAAGAAGGGCACACTTTCACAGAGGGGGAAAGCTGTAAGGGAGGTGTATAATTAATAAGTAGCAGGTGTGACTCCAAGGTTGCTTTTTTCTCCAGCTTATACATTTTTCTTTATATTTGCAAGGATTTCTTTATATTTGCAAGGATTTCTTTCTGAAGAAAGATTCATCTGTAAAGATCCTAATATCAGCCTGGTGTGGTAGCTCATACCTGTAATCCCAGTGCTTTGGGAGGCCAAGGCAGGAGAGTCACTTGAGGCCAGGCATTCAAGACTAGCCTGAGCAACATAGCAAAACCTTGTCTCTACAGAAAAGTAAAAAATTAGCTGGGCTGGCCAGGCGCGGTGGCTCACGCCTATAATCCCAGCACTTTGGGAGGCCGAGACGGGTGGATCACAAGGTCAAGAGATCGAGGCCATCCTGGTCAACACGGTGAAACCCCGTCTCTACTAAAAATACAAAAAAAAATTAGCTGGGCATGGTGGCGCGTGCCTGTAGTCTCAGCTACTCAGGAGGCTGAGGCAGGAGAATTTCTTGAACCCAGGAGACGGAGGTTGCGGTGAGCCGAGATCGTGCCATTGCACTCCAGCCTGGGTAACAAGAGCGAAACTCCGTCTCAAAAAAAAAAAAAAAAAAAAAATTAGCTGGGCTTTCTGGTTCACATCTGTAGTCCCAGCTACTTGGGAGGCCAAGGCAGGAGGATTGCTGGAGCCCAGGAGTTTGAGACCAGCTGGGCAATATGATGAGACCCTGTCTCTACAAAGGAAAAAAATGTATCCTATACATCACAATCAGAGCCCCAAAAGGATCAATGATGCTTACACACTCAAATGCTCCACAAGAAAACACTGTGTTTGTTCCTTTTTGCAAAAGCATATTTTTCATTTTAAGGGAGAATGACAGATGATATCCAAATTGCACTTCCTGCCTCAGAGAGGAATTGGGTCATTAGAAACTTGTGCCTCTACTCAGGAGGGTAGATGCCATGTTAAATGTTCTTTCTTTTTCTTTTTCAACAGAGATAGGGTTTTGTCACGTGGCCCAGGCTGGTCTTGAGCTCCTGGGCTCAAATGATCCTCCCATCTCAGCCTCCCAAAGTGCTGGGATTATAGGCATGAGCCACTGAAGCTGGCCCAATGAAGCATTCTTTCCACAATAAATAAAATTTTAAAAAGAAAAGAACCATGCTCCTCTTATTTATGATCTCCAGTTACACAATTTCACAGTGTATAACATCCTATGTTGGCCCTGCTTCCTATGATGAGTGATCTGGAGATAAGGGTTCACATTAAAGAAAGTCATAGAGCTCCCCCCACTTCCTCCACCTATTATTCACCAACGCAACACAAGACCATGAGCTGGTTCTTCACCTGCCTGGGCCCTCCCACCACCTACCCGAGTCACAGAACTGTATTGAGAAAAGCAAAAATAAACCCCTGCCTGATAAATGCCGAAATGAAAGGGACATTTTCCACACAGATAAACTTCTTTCAGTGGGATTGTTTGCTGAGATATGGAACTGCTGACAGACAGAAATCCAAACCCCAGTCTGACATCCACACACAAAAAATATAAGCCCTAGAAAGGGTCTCAAATTGACCAGACTGGCTGAAACAAACTGGACTACTTTTCCATGGACAGAATTAACTCTCAATTGTACTCAGCTCTGCACGGTGTTACTGGGGGCACTCTGGTACATTCAGGAAACTTGATGGTAATTCTAGGGAAAAAAAGGAACTAGTTTAAAGTCTAGTCTGTGCCTGTCCCAAGGTCATTTACAGACCGCCCATGGACAGCTGGTGGCCCCTCTGCCTTCTGACCTCATCGTGCATTCCAGACCTCAGGGCACAAGAGTCAGCCAGCTGGGGGCTTGCATCCCACCCTTCTAGTCTTTGGATTAGAGGAAGGAGGTATCCGACACTTAGCAGGCAGAGCTAGAACATTTGCTTTGTTATATGTGTTCCAGTTAAAACATGAGCAACAGCTACATTTCTAACAAGGCAGAACCATTAGCAAATTCAAGAATGAAGGATATGGCTTGGTATGGTGCCTCACACCTATACTCCCAATGCTTTGAGAGGCTGAGGTGGGAAGATCACTTGAGGCCAGGAGTTGGAGACCAGCCTGAGCAACATAGTGAGACCTCATCTACACACAAATACACACACAACTAGCCAGGTGTGGTGACACACATCTATGGTCCCAGCTACTCAGGAGGCTGAGGCTGGAAGATCACTTAAGCCAAGGCTACAGTGAGCTATGATCACGCCACTGCACGCCAGCTGGGTGACTGAACGAGATCCTGTCTCTAAAAAAAAATTTTATGTAATTAAAGAAAAAAAAGAATGATAAGTTTATAGCTATATTGTACTAGAAGTCATTATAGTAATAATGATAGTTACCCACATATATACATACACACACACACACACACGCACACACAGATATAGCACCTACTAGGAAGTAGGTATGTTACACATGTAACTCTAAATTTCCATATTGTCTGAGGTACCATATTTGATGCCCATTGTAAAGACTAGGAAACTGAGGCTTAGAAGTTGACTTTTGATGGCTCAGTAAGTTGAGCTAGGATCAGAGGACAGGTCTGCTTGGCTTCAAAACAAATACTATTTCCACAAACCACAATGCCTCCTTGTACAGGACAGTTATTTTCTTTGCTTGAAACGGACCTAAATATTGATTATCATATATCAGTATGTGAAAATACCGACTGAGCCTTAGTGTTTGCTACACATTATATGGTGTGGACCTCTAACCTGAGCACTCAGATCTAAAAGGAAGCTGAATGACTTGGGGTTAAACAAACAAAATGATCACAGGTAACAAGAAAACTGACCACAGTGGCTGGTTGGTTTCACCTGCTGCTGTTCTGAAAGGCAGAGGCCTTCCCAGCTCACAGACATTCCATTACGCTCTGCCTCTCCAAGAAATGCCCTGAGATGCTGTCCACCTATGACAAAGATTCACTTGTACGCAAGCATTTTTTTTTCTTTCTGTTTTTTTTTTTTTTTTTTTTTTTTTTTTTTGAGATAGGGTCTTGCTTTGTCATCCAGGCTGGAGTGCAGTGGCACAATCATGGCTCACTGCAGCCTTGACCTCCTGGGCTCAAGCAGTTTTCCCACCTCAGCGTCCACATCTTGTTGGGATTACAGGCATGTGCCCAGCTAATGTTTGTATTTTTCTGCAGAGATAGAGTTTCACTGTATTGTTCAGGCTGGTCTGGAACTCCTGGGCTCAAGCAATCTGCCGACCCTGGCCTCCCAAAGTGCTAGAATCACAGGCAAGAGCCACTGTGCCTGGCCACAAGTGTTTTTTGTTGTTATTGTTTTTAAGAAACAGAGTCTCTGGCCAGGCGCAGTGGCTCATGCCTGTAATCCCGACACTTTGGGAGGCCAAGGCGGACGGATCACAAAGTCAAGAGATTGACACCATCCTGACCAACATGGTGAAACTCCATCTCCTCTAAAATAGAAAAATTAGCCAGGCGAGGTGGCGCGTGCCTGTAGTCCCAGCTACTCAGGAGGCTGAGGCAGGAGAATCGCTTAAACCTGGGGGGTGGGTGGAGGCTGTGGTGAGCCAAGATTGTGCCACTGCACTCCAGCCTGGCGACAGAGCAAGACTCTGCCTCAAAAAAGAAAAAAAAAAAAGAAAGAAAGAAAGAAAAAGAAACAGTGTCTCTCTCTATCACCCAGATTGGAGTGCAGTGGCATGATACTACCTCATTGTAGCCTCAAACTCCTGGGCTCAAGGAATCCTCCCAAAGCACTGTGATTACAGGTGTGAGCCACCACGCAGGGCCATATAAGCATTTTTTGAATTCTTCTTTTCAAATTGCCTTCAGTTTTGAGTCAAGTCTCCTAAAACCAGTCTTATTACTTAGTAGGCATTTCTTATTTAAACTCAGTTTGATACTCACTCTATTACGTCTATCCACTTCCTAAAAACAAACTATGATAGAATCACGACTTCCCACTATAGCATCTATCTCAGAGTTGGAGCCAAAGGCCCTTCAAGAAATTCTCCAAATGAGTGTTTTCCAAATGCTTGGAGAAATCCATCCCAAGACTAGGTATACAGTACTCCAGATGGTTATTTTCAAGTGGACAACATCTGGTTATAATCCATTTTGGTGCATTTGTTAAAAGTGAGACTGTAACTTAACAGCTTGCAGTTAACTGATAACTACAGAGAGGAAATCTTTGCATCCCAGCTGGTTGCTGCTGACTGCCTTACTCTTGACACAAACAGACATGACTTAAAAGGTTGGAAAACAGGCATGGCCTGCTCAAGAAAGAGCATCTGAGCCTCCGCCTGCACTGGTCCTTGCAAACCTGTGTTCTCCACCATTTCTAAGGCCTTCAAACTCAGCAACATCACCAACAATGGAAGTTTCCTCTGCTGTCCAGAAAAGAAGCTCCAATTTAAGAGTATCAACTGAGAGCCCTCACCTGCATGCTTGTGGGGGTGTTGAAGACTCCGCTGGCCTTGAGGGCTGCTTCCCTGTTGTAAGAAGAGGGCTGCACCTTTCACCATGAAAAAGCTCTCGCTTAAGCTGGGAAGGATAAGACCAGAGTACAGTTAGACTGGAATTCAGAGAGGAAAACGAGCAAAGACTTACTGCAGGAGAAAAAGCTTTTGCATGGACAAATGGCATGTAAAATGCGAATAGGATGAAACTGCCTTTATAATAATTCCATATAGTTCTCTTCCCAAACCTTGCCTTTGCTAAAAGCTTGCTACTGGAGAATTTTTGTGACAAAATAATGCTTCTGTGACAACACCCAAAGTTCTGTGTAGGCTTCCCCAGGGGCAAGGGCCTCTTTCTGCAGAATACTGGACAGGGATCTTACTGTAATATAACATTTTCTTCTTCTTCTTCATTTTTTTTTGAGACGGAGTTTCGCTCTTGTTACCCAGGCTGGAGTGCAATGGCGCGATCTCGGCTCACCGCAACCTCCGCCTCCTGGGTTCAGGCAATTCTCCTGCCTCAGCCTCCTGAGTAGCTGGGATTATAGGCACGCACCACCATGCCCAGCTAATTTTTTGTATTTTTAGTAGAGACGGGGTTTCACCATGTTGACCAGGATGGTCTCAATCTCTTGACCTCGTGATCCACCTGCCTCAGCCTCCCAAAGTGCTGGGATTATAGGCGTGAGCCACCGTGCCCGGCCTCATTTTTTTTTTTTTAAGACACAGTTTCACTCTGTCATCTAGGATGGAGTGCAACCTCTGCCTCCTGGGTTCAAGCGATTCTCATGTCTCAGCCTCCCCAGCAGCTGGGATTACAGGTATGTGCCACCATGCCTGGATAATTCTTGTATTATTAGTAGAGATGTGGTTTCACCATGTTGGCCAGGCTGGTCTCAAACTCCTGACCTCATGTGATCCGCCTGCTTCAGCCTCTCAGATTTCCAGGATTACAGGCTCAAGCCACCATGCCCTGCCACAGCATTTTCTTAGAGAACAACTCCCTGATTAGGAGAGGGTGGGCTACTTTATGAATTCGCATGCTCTTGCTGTTGATCTCTATTTCTAACTCTCTGGCTTTTAACAACTCCATTGTTTCTTGGTGACTTCCCTTGAAGGACTGCAAGATGAAATTATACTTTCATTAGATCAGCCGTCCCCAAACTTTTTACACAGGGGGCCAGTTCACTGTCCCTCAGACTGTTGGAGGGCCGCCACATACTGTGCTCCTCTCACTGATCACCAATGAAAGAGGTGCCCCAGGCTGGGCGCGGTGGCTCAAGCCTGTAATCCCAGCACTTTGGGAGGCCGAGGCGGGTGGATCACGAGGTCGAGAGATCGAGACCATCCTGGTCAATATGGTGAAACCCCGTCTCTACTAAAAATACAAAAAAAAAATTAGCTGGGCATGGTGGCGCATGCCTGTAATCCCAGCTACTCAGGAGGCTGAGGCAGGAGAATTGCCTGAGCCCAGGAGGCGGAGGTTGCGGTGAGCCGATATTGCGCCATTGCACTCCAGCCTGGGTAACAAGAACGAAACTCCGTCTCAAAAAAAAAAAAAAAAAGAGGTGCCCCTTCCTGAAGTGCGGCGGGGGGCCGGATAAATGGCCTCAGGGGGCCGGGGATGCCTGCATTAGATGTCTGCATTTTAAGAAAAGTAAAGACAGCCGGGGTGGCTCAAGCCTGTAATCGCAACACTTTAGGATGCTGAGGTGGGCGAATCACTTCAGGTCGGGAGACCAGCCTGGCCAACATGGTAAAACCCCATCTCTACTAAAAACACAAAAATTAGCCAGGTGTAGTGGCGCCTGTAGCCCCAGCTACTCGGAAGGCTGAGGCACAAGAATCGCTCGAACCTGAGAGGCAGAGGTTGCAGTGAGCCAAGATCACGCCATGGCACTCCAGCCTGGGTGACAGAGCAAGCCCCGTCTCAAAAAAAGAAAAGAAGTAGGTGGCTACTGACCTGTGATTTAACTTAGTCAAGACTGCCCTTTCCACTATTCTTGCAGAAAACCTCAAGTTGACCCAATGAATTTCTCAGCAGAATGGATCTTTTCGGCCTTTGTTATTTTAACCAGCAATAACATTTACATCTAACCTACAAATTTAAAAATTAAAATTAAAAAATTTGTATTTGGGAGGCTGAGGTGGGAAGATCATTTAAGTCGAGGAGTTTGAGATCAGACTGGGCAACACTGTAAGACCCTGTTGTGCAAGATGACTTGGCTATCAAGTTTAGCTTTTGCAGAAATTAATATATTAAAAGAATGCCTCAGCTATGAATTACTATCATTTGTTCAAAAATACCATCAATTCTCAAAATTATGCATAAAATACACCAATTTCTTGGGGGGTGGGGACCAAGTCTCACTCTGTCACCCAGGTTGGTGCAGTGTCGCAATCTCGGCTCACTGCAACCTCCGCCTCCCAGGTTCAAGTGATTCTCCTGCCTCAGCCTCCTGAGTAGCTGGGACTACAGGCACATACCACCATACCCGGCTAATTTTTTTATTTTTAGTAGATATGGGGTTTCACCATGATGGCCAGGCTGGTCTCAAACTCCTGACCTCAAGTGATCCGCCCGCCCAGACCTCCTAAAGTGCTGGGATTACAGGCATGAGCCACCACACCCAGGCAAAATACACCAAAATTATTAACAACGGCTTTGCAGGGAGTTGGGGAGGAGAAGGAATAGATTATCTTCTATTTAGTATTTTCCAAATGTTCTATATTAAGTATATATTAACTTTTTAAAACATCTATTTTTGTTTGATTCTCAATATAAAAACAATAATATAAAACACATACTACACTTTATAATTTAGAAAGGAACATACTATTCTCAATAATTTTGTGAAACAAGGTCACAGTTTAAACTGTAGGAAACTATAAAAATATTTCTCTTGAACAACCAATTAATATATACATGATTTGAAGGGAAAAATCCCTATGAAAAAGCAGTCTTCTAATTAAAGAGAACCTTGAAATTAAGCAAATCAATTCCTGACAGAAAGAAAGGATGTTTTCTGCAATCACCTTTGCCCCAGACAGCAGATATTCATAGTTAAATATTTGTATTCTGGAATAACAAACTCAGCAAAGCCTAAAGTATGACACCAGGTGCCAAGAAAACACCACATAAACTAGCATTTCCAATCAACAGCTCCTGAAATCAGGAAAACTGTTATGCTCTACGATATTAAGTCCACAATAAAATCTGTTACTTTTTCTGGTTAAACGCTCATGCTAAAAATAGTGACTGCTCAAATATTAAATAAGAAGACTTAGTTCTGCCTCTCTTGTTCAGTCCTTCGAATTCCAGACAATCGGTTTTCTATACCTTGTAACAGCAACACCTGACACGTGACAGCATTTCACCTGCTATTGCAGACGCACTGCCGAGTCATCTTTTCCTCCCTTTCACAGTCGCGTATTTCTGCTGCAAGTTTCAAGTGTTGAGGAGCCCAGGATTACAAATAACGAAAGAAACGAGAAGCAGCCTTTCTTTGCTGTCTCATCCTCACTCACAGGAAGCAAAAGCTCTTTAGCATCCATCTGGCCGATGTAAGACCCAGGCAGTCTCATTTCACAGGCTGCAGAATCACCTAACCCTTTCCACCCATAAAGCTTGTCACTTTCTCCTTCCTCAGAATTTTGCAGCCTAGTTATGTTTTCAGAACTGTTCTTAGACACAGATCACTTACTATTTATTCTCATCACAATGTGAAAGAGCTGTGCAAGAGGCCCCAAACTCATGAAACCTAAAACAGCCATTAGTTCATCAAAGCAGATGGGGAGATCTTTTCGAGACATCAACTGCTTTTGTTCATGAGATTAAAAAAAAAAATTCATACTGACCAGAAATCCAAGCACTCTGGGAAGAGCCAACCATTAACGATGACCTTTGCCTTGGAAACCATGGGCAAAAAATCCCCTTGGTTTCCCTTACATTTCCTTTGGAAAAAAAAAAAAAAAAAAGGAACAATGCAAAAGACTAGGCTGGTTTCACCCTGTGACCACTGACAAGGTTGGCTGTTCCTCCTCCGTGTTCCTACACTGATAAGAATCAGGGCCTCCTGCTCTACGCATGAAGTCGGGGGTCAGGATTGATCGGGGCCCTGGAACACTCTGCCTCTGTTCCCCCACAACAATCAGTAACAGGCGTTTACTGTAAAAAGCAAGACTGGAAGCTGCAGGGAAGCCCCAGAAGCAGTGCATTATCCTGAGGCTATTGAGATCACCCTGTGTCCTGCGAATACAGTAAGGGACCCAGCCAGAGAAAACCGCACAACACGACTCTCGGGGGTGGGGTGGGAGGCCGCAGAGCATGGTCAGTCACAGGATTTACGAAAACAAGATGCAGAAAGTCTCTGTGACCTGGCTTCCTGGCTTCTCTTCTGAGCTCACTCTGGGCCCAGAGCCTCACGTGCCCTCTGCGTGGCTGATCTGCATGCTATTTCTGACGGCCACGGCTTCTGACACCGAGAGACACAGGCTCCCGATTCATCAGACCCTCACAGTGCCCCACTGGGGAAGTCCGTGAAGAAATCCACAATGGTGATGGCACACTCACTTCACTAGGTGCCCGGGGCCAGGAAGCCCAAACCCACAAGCCATCCATCCCAGCCACGCAGACATCAGCCTTCTCACAAAAGATCTGTGTGTCCTAAAAGGAGTAACTGAAGTTACAGAAGGTCAGACACAGGCAGACACAACGGAAATGTCTTCCTCCACTGCTGTAAGAAAATTCTCGATGAGGGATAAAAACAGTCACTGCCCTCTCTACCCGCCACCCGCAATGCTTTTATCTCTACCACACAGATCTGTTCTCGGATACTGATTACCGCCATTCGGGAAGCTTCCTAAGATTAAAGTTTCTTCAAAGCACTGAAGACAGACAAAAACCTCAATCAATGCTCCTCAAAAAACCCCAAGCCCCCCCCCCCCAAGAATATAAACAGCCAGTGTCACCCAGAAACCGAGCCATGGCAGGAGAACAGAAATCAAGGTGGTCATACATACTAATTTGAGCTGGAAACCTCTGGACAGCAGAAGTAGTGGGTTGGCCGAAGGAAGATGCAGAAG